GTTTATACCAAATTAATTCTCCTTCTTCCAAGAATGCTTCAAGCTGAACTAGGACATAATCCTAAAGAAGAACGAGCACTGGGCCTCGTCCCTCACACCCCAGACGGCAGAGACCAACCGTTGCTGCAAAAATTATTTTTCTTCGCCCACGGAGGTGTAATTCCATAAATACGTTCCAGCTTAACCCAAGGATGTTTCAGACTGAGCTGTCAAAGAATCGATTTAAAAGAACTTGCTCTCATCTCTGTTTCCACTTTTGAGCCCCGTTCCTCCTGCCCCAGGTGACCACTTGTTCCGCTTATACAAAAAGGATTTCGCTTTACTCAAAGATGCCTCGGACGAACTTTGACCAAATTCCGCTGGGTCATTTATGACTGATAGCGATTTTAAGTTGACGAACGACGAACGATGGACGCCGCGGTGTGCTTACAGGTCCGGCTACTGGTTCCAAACTAACCTTCTGCGCATCATGGAGGACTGGAAGAGGTCCTTGGACAATCGAAATTTTGTTGGAGCCATTCTGATGGTCCTATCTAAGGCCTTCGACTGCCTCCCCATGACCTAGTGAAATTATCTGCTTATAGTGTGACTGATGAGATTGTGCGCCTCATGCAGAGCTACCTCAAGAATCGAAATCAGAGGGTCAGACTGGGACCAAAGGTGAGTGGCTGAGTCCCAACGCTGAAGGGAGTCTCCCAGGGCACAATACTGGACCTTCAACATATCTTCAACATTTTTATCAATGATATGTTCCAACACGTGAACGATTCCTATATGTATATTTACACAGATGACTTACCACCCTTAGCTATAAAATATAGCTAAGCTATATAGCTATAGAGCTTTAGCTATAAGATAACTCTTAGCTATCCGAGAAATGAAACGAGTGCCGCAAAGGAAAGCCTTTGCCCCTTTCGACTGGTTCTAGAAATAAGGCATGATTGTTAACGCGGAAAATTCCAATTGAGAGGCTTTGAAAACATTTCATAGAAGCTTAAACCATTTCAATGTCGAAAGCACTGACTTTACTTGTGAAGAGTCAGTGAAATTGCTTAGTGTTGAAATTAACAATCTTATGAAATTTGATAAGCACACTTCAAATTTATGCTGGAAAGCATCCAGATCGCTGGTAGTTTTAAAAAGAAGTGGACATTTTTTTACCAAGTATGGTAAAAATAAAGATGCTAATTTACAAATAATTAATATTTTATCGAACGTAGTCTACTGCCCTCTGATTTGGTATATCTGTAGGACGACTACAACTGACAAAATAGACAAGATTTAAGACAGGTTATTGTGACTTGTTTTAAATGATTACGCTAATGATTTCAAAACACATTTTCAATCTACAATCTTCCTTTTTACACAATATTGAACAGATTGTCAAAAATTTGTCCTCTGAATACATAACGCGGGAACTCGTTACAGGAAGGTCGCAAGGGTGAAAACTACCTGGTAGGGACAGAAACCTTTCCAGTATGAGGTCACCCGCATTTGGAACTCTCTGTCACGAGACCTACAAAAGGTTGAAAAGCTTATGGAGTTTCGTAGACAGGTCCAGATATTGAATAGTCTCAGCTCTCAGTGTGCTATGTGTCTCATGTAGTGTTATTGTTTTTTTAAAGTAATAATGTTCTATCACTTTAGCTTAGTATATATATAATTTATGCATTGTAAATTCCTTATATGTTTAAGACTCTTTTGACCTGTTTTCACCATTGCATGTCCTAAGTGTCCTATGTTTTAGTAAATAGTAGTGTTCATATACATAGTATGCCTGTGTTTTATTCTGTTTCATTAACTATAAGTGTCCCATGTTTTATGTAATGCAGTTTTTATGTTACAAGTTTTTTCCGTCCTTTTTGTTTCTTTGTACACCTTGTTCTTGACTCATGTTTTTATTTACATATATTATCGAAATACAAGTTCGTTAAGAACACATGCTTATATCAAATATATTCGTGACTAAATAAATATATAAATCCTTCATTCTACCTGTTTTTGAATATGCTTGTGAGGTATGGAATGGTTGCTCTGTTTTGGATTCTGAGAAATTAGAGAAAGCACAAAGAGAGCGGCTCGAGTTATAACAGGTTTACCTTCGTATGCCAGTAATGAATCACTATATTTTGAAACGGGATAGGAAACATTATCAGAGAGAAGGAAGACACGTAAGTTAAATGTATTATACAAAATGATAAATAATTTAACTCCTTATTTATCGGCACTTTTGCCAAACAGAGTGGGTTACAACAATCAGTATAATTTACGGAACCAACATGATTATATCATTCCTTCTGTCAGTCTCTCTCTAAGTAACTCTTTTTTTTCTGCCATCAAGTTTACGTCTGTGGAATTCGCTAGACAGTTCAATAAGAACATTACTATCTTTGAATGCTTTTAAATCTTCTTTATCTAATGACGCTAATTCTTGTCCTCCATCTTATTATAATTTTGGCGAACGTGATCTAAATATATTACATACGAGACTCAGACATCAGTGCAGCTCTTTGAAAAGTGATTTGTTCCGTGTTAAGATTGTTGATAACCCATCGCGTGCTTGTGGACATTACTGTGAGGATGTTGGACATTTTACCCTAGAATGTAATCTTTATAATAGAGTAAGAATAACGCCTTTTCAAAGTATAAACATGTTGAATATAGATCAAGTGAATTTACATTTATTTTTATTTGGAAATGAAAATCTGTCCCTAACTACATATTTTTGGGTTACATATTTCCCCTCCAGGAAAGAACACATCCTTGAGTTTCTTGGGGTTACAGCGAAGCTTTAGGGGCATGGGTAAGTATTATATTTGCATCCTTGCATAAGTTCCATTGTAACAGATGTCATTACCGTAAATTTGCGGGTATAGTGGGGTCAGATAAAAAAAAAAAAAGAAAGATTTTCTTCAGAAAGATTAATTGGTAACTGGTTGTGGTTTGATCCATTGATAATTAGGAAACCACAATCATCGCGACCCTAACATATTTACTTACCTTATGTAAACAAATTCACACAGGTACCTGACTTAACAAGCATGAAAGGCTTGGCTAATTGGATAATTAACTACCAATATAGAAGTATTCAGACACGTGAAAATTTTGATCAAATCCAGCAACAGATTTTAAGTAAAATGTATTAACTGTTCAATATATTATGTGTGCATTGTTAATGTTATCATGTATTGTATTAAATGAAAAGGCGGTCATAAGTTGAAATAACTTGTGCCCAATCCTCTGCTCAATTTTGGGGCAATAAATATGTTGAAACCTGAAATCTACAATCACTAAATAAGGTTTCTTGTATCTTGCTGCATCATGTTCGTGTAAGCCTCGATATGGTAGTGAGAGACAGGTACCGACTTTATAGTGCTAGCACGCCGAAGTATATGGTTGGTATAATATGACCAAAAAATGTCCTACTGGGGTCCTTCGAGAGAGAGAGAGAGAGAGAGAGAGAGAGAGAGAGAGAGAGAGAGAGAGAGAGAGAGAGAGAGAGAGATTCTAAATTAAAGCCCAAAAGCGAAGCAATATCCGGAGAGATATTACAAAAAATAGCCGCTTATAGTGTCGTAACATCAGTCATCGTTGTCCATGTAGTATTACAATATTTGCAATTAAAGCAAATTGATTTCAATGGAAATATTTCTCTATGCTTCCTTTAATATCAGAAAAAATCTGTATGTTCAGGGTCTATACGTTATATCAATTCCTTGTCAATTATATTGAACATGTTTTTTTAATACACATCACACTCCAGAATAATTCTAGGTCGAATACTTGAAATTGGTTTTAAGACAAAGACACTGAATCTTTCAAATTTGTCATTCTATGATACTTTCGTTTCATTTTTTTAAAATTGAAGATGATAGTTGAAAAGATTTAACAACGGGATGGAGAAAAAATAATTTCTTTCCTTTAAGAAAAGAACACGTTTTAACTTGACTCAAATCATAGATCTACATAAGTGGAATAAGGGAGATAACTTAAGTAACTGAACGAAATTCTTATGAAAATGAAATGTATTTTTTCTTTATCAAATAAGTTAGTTTAATTCAACAACATAACACATTTGGGACGGAAAACAAACTGGTTTATTCTCCTTTAAATTACCATGTCAAATATAAAAAACAACACATATTTATGTACACAAGTATATATGCTATGAGTCAACAGTCCAGAATAAAAAAATGAAAGGCGAGGAAGAGAAAAAAAACTGTTGAGGGAGGATGACCTAACTCCGTTATTGCATCAATTTGTTAATAATTGTAGTGTAGCGAAACATGGTGAACTAAAACGTAAAACAAAGTAGATATCATAAAATATTTTGATAGATCTTCTAAGATTGGAAATATTTTTTGGGTTGGATCATCGTGTTTTTCTACTTTCTGCGCAAATATTGTTTAAAAAACATGCTTTTGTGTATCGTTCTTGAAGTATTATTTTCTCTGTACCGAATCCCAGCATTGTGACGTCATTCTAAGATAACTTAATCTGAGTTCGGAGTGTGGTATATTACAACTACAAGTTACACGACAATTTTGAATATAGAGATATCGGGTTAATTAAGATGACATACCGAGGTACCTCTAGACGACATGTATGTTAACAGCAAGGCGTGTCTAGATATACAAGAGAGTTATACTAATACGTCTCTAGATAAACGTAATTATATTACAAATGTACAAGAAAATCTTACCTGGGATCATTATACGTTCCTGTCAGACAAATGTTTCACGATACTTTTCCTTCCACTTAAACAGTACAAACGTTATATTTATGTTTCTAGTGGAAATTATGAGAATAAGGATTTTCATTTCACTTACAAAATTTACTTCCTTACACTAGAAAATGAATAAAAGCAAGAAAACACTATTATAACGAACAATACACAAAAACAATATATCGATCGCGAACTTTTGTAAGTCTAGCTGAAGGGTCGCCGGCATGTAAAACTCCGAGGCATTCCGATGTGCAAACGGCCATATTGGTTTCTTCTCGAATATTCAACGTGATTCATGTGGGAACCTGCTGTAGAAATCCAGTAACATCGTCGATTCTACAGCGAAAGGAAACCTTTTCAACCATCCATCATGCCACCGGCACCCAAAAGTAACCCGACAAAGAAGTCAGAGTACAAAGATAAAGAAAAACCTACACAAATCCGATTCAGCAACATCACCGCCGCAAAGGGTTGGTTTGAACAGACGATGCATTTGTTTACATTATTGTGAGCGTGACAACAGGACTGTTTAGTCGCTTTATCAAATGAAATATTGGTATAATTAAAAAAGATTTATCGTATAGATACTAAAGTATACATGTGATAGCATAATTTGGTATCCTTATAATATCCTGAACAATACAAACCGGAATCGGCATTGATTCTAGAATGTGCTAAAATAAGAGTGCTCGGATTTAGTCCGTCATGACCAGAAAATTCCTTTTGCCCTAATGAATTATGATAGACTTAGAAATCAAGGATCCTCGCATGCCATAGTATACAAATAAATAAGATTACACGCATGGCGTTTGAAATAACATGTATGCTGAGACATTGTATACTTTCTGTTGATAGCTGTTGCTGATGCTGTCCGAACAAGTCTTGGCCCTAGGGGCATGGACAAGATGGTAGGTACACATAACCCTGACATTTTGTGGTGAGAGATTCTCTGACAATGTTTGAAACATGAATTATCTATAAGATGCTTCTCTGTTGAATCAGTGTGTGGTGTGGTTTTGAACACCTAAAAATCACCTAATATTCCCAATGGTCAGTCTTCAATTTAACATCACAAGTAATTTCAACTTGATTGCTAAAGCAATGAGTCCCACAATTTAAAATTGAATGATTTCAAGTCCCATAAAAACTATGGATACAGGACTGAGGACTGCTGTGTAAATGCAGTAAAAACAAATGACGAAGACATAGAACATTTGACAGATAACTAGAATTGAGACAATCAGGCCTCAAATTTAAGGCTTTTTACTGGCTATTTGCAAGTAGAAATCCAAGAATTGCAAGTAGAAAAGTAGACTTGCTTTTTTCAGCAAGTGGATTCATCAGATGCATACTGTGAGTGCCCATCTATTCCTAACATTTCACAGAATTAAATTGTTTTGATTTTCAAAGTGTAAATATTGGGACAAAGTTGTTCTTCTATAATGTTGATATATATTGGATGAAGCAAGGTAATACATTATAAATCACAAAACAAAACCCATCATTTGAACATAAAGATTTGCGATAATAGCAAGTAAAAAGTCATTTTAACAAGTACAAATTTAAGGCACATGCTGTTTCAGTAAGTGACAAAAAATGTTAAATTTGAGGTCTGACAATATGCAAGATATCTTGATACACATGATCACTGGACCCTAATTGAGGAAGAATTACCCACAGTATGTCCTCAGTTATCTGAGCAAACATCACATACCACTATTGGCACAGAAAGTAGCTTTAGTTCGCAGGAATGAAGGGACTTCCCCACCAGGTTGAGATTGGCTGAGAGCCTACACCCCAACTTTTACACTACGCCCTTCTTTGACCGTGAAGTTGGACATAACCCGAAGGGTTTTTGTCATAATTTTTGTAATAGTATCCCATCCTGTAAACAATTATCCTATCGAAAGGTCTTTGTCAAATTTCCATCAGCAAAAATTCAGTATGATGACATCTACTAACAACTTTAAATTGGACAAGTCTGATAATATTTTCTTGTGTGCTATGCAGATTCCTGATTAGGCCCTTGTTCTTCATAGATTATTCTATAGGGACTTTCTTTAAGAAGACATTTCCGTGTTGTGCTGCCATGTAAAATGCGTTTTAAGAATCGTGTACAAGATCTCTGTGACGGCAGATAAAAGTTAACCAAAGACTTGTTTTGTTGGGGGGAGCGGGGAATTCCTGACTTTTGTTTATCAATCCAGATATTCGTAAGGAAATTTTCCCTGTTGTATATTTATGAAGCCAACACCTGATTTTTTGAAAGCACACAGTGTTTACATCTGTCTTCAGACATTTGATAAATGATTTAATTTAGAACTTTCCCTTTTATACTTTACTATATTTTAAGTAATGTTATATTTTCTTTTCTAGATCCAGGCCTCAAATGGTGATGTTACAATCACTAATGATGGGGCAACAATCCTGAAGCAAATGATGGTTCTCCACCCTGCAGCAAAAATGGTAAGTTCAAAACAAAAACAGCACAAAAGCAAATCTGGTTATTCTATCAATGTGTAATAATGCAATAAGATAAATAGCTTTAGTTTGTATGATTTGAAGACTGTTGCATGTACCTGGCCTTCATAAAGACAAAGCAGTTTGTCCAGGATTTGATTGTTCAAAAATGTGTAGTGCCTGTTTATTTTCTTTCATATTTGGATACAGTATTAAACCTACTTGGTGAAAATGATCTTACAAGTAGGTCATTGGAATGAATGATATCTCTGTAAATGAGGAAAATAGAAAAATATCACATCATTGTCAAAGGATTGGTGCATGTTGACATGGTTTGGCCAGGTAGCTTTTAGATATGGTGACAGGTGTATATGTTGTTTCAGCAATGATAGGAGAATGTTTAAATGCTGGAATTGCAAACAGAATTAGAACGTAACAGAGGTCATTATTTATTTCGATGCCTTCGCTTGTGATTTGAACCAGAGACCTCTGGCTTACTAGTGTGACGCTCAACTGATGAAGCTTGAGAGAAGTTCTCTTGAGCCGAAACAATATATCATGTTTACTTGGGTTACATATTTCCTCTCCAGGAAAGAACTCGTCCTTGAGTTTCTTGGGGTTACATTGAAGCTTTAGGGGCATGGCTAAGTATTATATTTGCATCCCTGCATAAGTTCCATTGTAACAGATGTCATTACTTATTTCTATGCTTCGGATAGGATTCAAACCCGAGACCTCTAATGTTCTAGTCTGATACTAAAGAGTATTTCTGTTTAGGCGAGCGGTATATTTAGGCAAGCATTTACCAGGGTTACATAGAGTATGGGTTATAAAGATGTTTTTTTTTCTTTCTCATTAGCTTGTGGAGCTGTCAAAAGCCCAGGATGTTGAGGCAGGAGACGGCACCACATCTGTTGTAGTCATCGCTGGCAGTCTGTTAGACGCCTGCTCAAAACTACTCGCTAAAGGTAGGTACATTTCTCTTGATTGATGGTTTCTTCATGCACAAATTTACACTGCCGTTTTAAGACTGATAAGGTATAAATGGAAAAACTGAAATGATTCTATTGGAATGTAAGTAAATTTTGAATGAATTGTCAACATTTGTTGAAACCTTACTTTATATTACAGGGATTCATCCAACAAGTATATCGGAAGCATTCCAGAAAGCTTCAACAAAAGCAGTAGAGATCTTGGAGAGCATTGTTAAACCATTAGAATTGTCTGATCGTGAATCTTTGCTGAAGAGTGCATCAACCTCTCTCAACTCCAAGGTATTTTGAAGTTGATAAAGCATCAACCTCTCTCAACTCCAAAGTGTCTTAGAATAGATATAGCACCCACAGCTTTCTACTCCAAAGTATATTAGCATGGATAAATCCTTGTCAAATGTTCATTATGACAGCCATGATGGCCACATTGTAACTGGTTTCCCACAACAACATCTCTTTTAAATTCCACAAGAATTTAGCTGAAACTTGTGTGAAATGATCCTGAGATGGTCCTTACCAAGTTTTGTTATTTTTGGGGCTATTTTGAAAAACACATTTTAAGACCTCTGATTCCATTGGTGCCGTTTGATGGAAATTTTGTGGAAATGCAAAGAAACTGAAACAAGGAATGTTTTTTGCCTTTACTGCCAAAATATTCCAACTGTTTGAATCATTTAATAACTACTTGCACTGCTACTACTGTTGTTATATCCTGTATAGATCTTTATAGTCAGATGACTGTTAAGACCTAGAGGTGCCTTGTTTTTGTTTACGGTGATTTGTGTCCTGTAGAATGATGAAGGAAAATTACTAAATGTTTTTGACCCAAAAGATTATGGATATCATGAAATAACTGGATAGATTTTGTTATAGGTGGTGTCCCAGTACTCCGGAATTCTGTCTCCTATTGCTGTAGATGCGGTGTTGAAAGTCATCAATCCTTCAACAGCTACCAATGTAGACCTCCGAGACATCAAAGTCGTCAAGAAACTTGGGTAAATTTTCTTGCCAGTTCACTTCTCACTGAGACTTTGAATAGCTTACAAATTAAAGCATTTTACTGACAAAATTGACCTTTATAATGTTTTCATTCTACTATATGAAAGTAAAATATTTTGCAACTAAAATTTTATCCCTTTTAAGTACATGTATTATGGTGAAACTTGTGTTGCATTTTGATGGAAATGAAACAATATTTTATGTGGCATTTGACATGGAATAAATATTATTAAGGCAGAAATTGTGATAGACCATGTAAGGTAAGGTTCATTATCTCCTGTAGACAAATGTATGGTCTTGAATGGGTATCAGTTTTCAAACTGTCGTCATCGGCATGTCCTTATCTTGAGATTAGTATTGAAATATATTTTATAGGGACAAAAAGACCAGTATTTTTGTTTGGTTGAGACTTGATGTTGAGAGTGCCTCGTATATGAAATCATTTACTGCAGTCAAAACTATTAAAAAATTATGCTGCATATTTTTCAAAATTCTGTACTTTGCTTTTACTATTAAAAATCAGATGGTAACTGTTGAAAGAAAATTTAAATTTTGTTATGAATGTTTACAGTGGAACTATTGAAGATACAGAGTTGATAGATGGAATAGTGTTTAACCAGAAGAGTGCTGGAACAGGTGGACCTAACAGAGTAGAAAAGGCCAAGGTTGGACTTATACAGTTCTGTGTGTCTCCGCCCAAAACAGATGTAAGTAGAAATGGCTGTGATTGGGCTCCTACAGCTCACATTGTCTCCTTGCAAAGCAAGATATTTGCAAAAGAAATAATGTAAAAAGTAGTAGTCAGTCTGAGAAAAGCTGTCAATGTTATTTGTGAATAATATATGCTTTTAAAATTACAAAATTGAAATGAAAACATTTAATTTGTAATGGAAGTTCTTCATATTAATGTTAAGTTGTATTATGCTTTCTGTTTGTTTGCAGATGGACAATTCTGTAGTAGTATCCGATTACTCTCAGATGGACAGGGTATTACGAGAGGAAAGACAATATATCCTTGATATAGTAAAGAAGATTAAAAAGGCAGGCTGTAATGTTCTTCTAATCCAGAAATCTGTGCTGAGGTAAGCTTTATCAGATTTACAGATCAGATGTCTGGAGGTTTGTTTAGTTTGTTAGAAACAGAATTCATGGAAACTTTCAATTAAGTAAGCATTTATCAGGAGACAGTCAACTGTATGACATTAACAATTTTCAAAGTAACTTTTGAACTGCAAATATCAGTGTAGGTTAAAGTTTTGGAGTGAATGAATTAATATTAGTTGTCTCGGACAACAGCAAAAGCTAACCGCAAATGACTATTTGCATTCAAAGAAAAAAAAATTTCAGACATGAGTGGTGTACATTTGAGTTAAGAATCTATATTTAGGATTGATATAATGACTTTGACTTTTCAGATTTGTTTAGCTGTAACATTAATGTTGTTTATATAGTTTGGTTCACCAAGTTCTTCAATTTCTGTTTCAGAGATGCTGTTAGTGACTTGGCTCTTCATTTCTTTGCTAAAATGAAAATTATGGTCATCAAAGATATTGAAAGGGAAGATGTGGAGTTTATATGCAAGGTAATTATGATTTTATTTAGTAGGAAAGGCCAAATATCTGTGATGACTTCCCAAAACCAGTGCTCCAGATAACTGTGGGGTTTTCACTCCTACCTTTATAAATTGAGGGGTTTTTTCACCCCTGCCTTCATCAAGTGTACATATTAGGGTAACACTGAATTTGTAAACGATACGAGTTTCGTTTACTTGATAAGTGTCTGTTTGACTTAGATTATTGAGCCGTAATTTTGTACAATCAAGAAAACGCTTTTGACCAAAACAATCCTTCTCAAAACTGACAACTGCTCGAGACCTAATGAAATGGCATTATATAGATTGATGTCCTTTTTATTATAGTAATATGAAATTTCCCAACTAAATATATATATGTGGCATGTGGGAATGCCCACCTGATTGAGAGGATTATTGTTAACATATATAATAATCACCACTAACCAAATAGTTTGTCTAAGGACCATAAAATCCCATTCGATCAATCGATCACCACTGACAAGATGAAACCATATCAAATGAATCCATGGTTTCACGGAAGCGAGAAGACCTAAGGGAAAAAGAGAAAATAAGTATTTGCAGAGCTAGAAAACAGTTTGGCACCTAATTTGTTAGTGTTGGGTTGTTTTATTTCAACACATACAAAATGAAAACTTTATTGTAGAGTGTTGTTTTAAAGATAATTTTGTTATGATGATCAACAAAAATGCTAGATTATCAAATGTATCAGATTAAATGCTTTCTGACATACTGATCATCAGACAAGGGGAGGGGGACAGGTTCTGTCATGTGTTATGGTTAGTAAGTGCCAACATCTCTAGGCAATTTGTGGGTGTCTTTTTAATAAAGTTACATACTGTATACATGTATCACTGTTATTTTATTGTAAGAAATCAAAATATGATTATCAAGATTGTCTGTATTCATTTGGATGTGCCTGGTGTATGTGCTCAAAGCTGTAAGAATGGTTAATGTTATGATCACAGTCTAGACATGTCAAGTCTGTTAACTTCTCCATACCAACCCATCTTTAAATTGGTCATTGGATTTGTTGGCTCATTACCATTAAGAGTCGTTGATTTGTTGGCTCATAAGCATTACACAAACATGCAAAGCAAAATTTGCAATTAGTAATCTGTTTAATATATATAATTTACAGTGTGAAAAACTTGAGCATTCTTATCTAGTTCCTTTATGCCAGTGTGTTACTGGTTGACAGCATACCTATATATCTAGTTGGTATATAGAAATCAGTGTTTTATTGTAAGAACATGCTTAAATGTAATCCTTGAAAGTTGATGATGCATTTCAGTTTCCCATCAAATTTTGCCATTAAGTTAGTCAAGCTATAAAGTTATTCTTATAGTGTTAAAAGAAATGATTAATCTTTTTCATTAAAACTCCAGTTTTACTGGTACAAATAAGCCTATTGAATAATAATTATTCTTCCAGGGTTTGGGATGCAGACCAATAGCCAGTCTGGATCATTTCTTACCAGAAAATCTTGGATCTGCAGATTTGTTTGAGGAAATTCAAACTGGACCTAGTAAAATTGTTAAGGTAAGTTTAAGGATTATTAATTAGGACTTTTCCAATAAAACATCAATTTGACATCTGGACTCCAAAATAAAGCAATTTTTATCCAAGATGGAATTTATTCTATTTATTAATTCTTGGCAAATCTATGGCAGGCACCTAAAACAAAACCTGGGAGTCCAGGGATGGAATGAATGGTTTAATGAAATAGCTCTTACTTTGTAAATATTAATCAAGATTGCCAAGAATGGTCATGGGGAAAAAATTGAAGGAAAGGGAAAAAGAACAGCATTCATGATTTTGTCAAAGTGTTTTGTTTAGTGAATTCTGCTTTCATGTAGAGACACTTATCTTGTTACTTCGATTGTAAAATGTTAACAAACGAACTTCTTGAATAGGTTACAGGTATCCCCATGCAAGGAAAGACTGTGACCGTTCTCATTAGAGGCTCAAACAAGCTGGTCTTGGAAGAAGCTGACAGATCTATCCATGACGCCCTCTGTGTAATCCGTTGTCTTGTCAAAAAGAAGTATGCATGATTTTCTTGCATATGTTGTTTCTTTTTCTTTGCATATATTTAGCAGAGCATTAACTTCGGTTTGGATGAAAAAATGGCATTGGTTATAGCAAAAGTTATTCTAATTGAAATTTTGAAATGTAGCATTAGATTACAGTAACAGGTTCACAAACACTACAAAAAGACTTTATTTAATATCGCCTTTCATCATTCTGTTTATGTTTTAAATGACAGTATTATGAGTTGTGTGCTGTCAAGAGTAAAGGTATGATATTCCATGGTATTCATGTGCTTTTTTCTGTTGTAGGGCTTTGATTGCTGGTGGTGGGGCTCCAGAGACTGAGTTGTCTCTTCAGCTGATGGACCACGCTAATTCCTTGACAGGTGTAGAACAATACTGCTTCAGGGCATTTGCAGAGGCCCTGGAGGTGATTCCATTTACTCTGGCAGAAAATGCTGGCCTCAACCCCATTGCTACAGTTACAGAGCTCAGGAACAGACATGCCAAGGGAGAGAAGACTGCTGGCATTAACGTTCGTAAGGTAAGTGATTGGAAGATGTTCAGAGACAGCTTAATCAAATTGCGAAAACACATGGATGGTTGATTATAAGTAAGCTTGTTTGATAAAGGGAGATGATAAAGAAAGCTTCTACGAATTAGTTTTCAATAGATCTCATATTAATGAATCTCTTTCAAACACTTCACATGTAGGTTTAACTGAGCCGGAATTTACACCAAAAATATTTGAACTGTGTCTTTAAAGTAATTATGATACAAACTTGTAGACCATATTTCAGTAAAATTTCTTCCCTACAAGGGTACTCCTGGTTTGGCTCAAGGAGTACCATGTAAAGGCTATGCTAGTAAAACATCTACATTGGCCAAAGTCTCCAAAATAAGTTGCTTCTGTTCAGGTTTCCTGACTATTCACTTCTAAGCTACTTTTTAGTTAAATTCTATAGGTGGTAACCTTAAACAGAACCTGGTATAGCCTTAATAGTCCTTGTAACCTGCAATTTTGATAACTTGCCTGTTTGTGATTCCAGGGAGCCATTACCAATATCCTGGAGGAGAATGTTGTCCAGCCGATTCTCGTGTCCACAAGTGCTATCCACCTTGCCTCGGAGACTGTCCGAAGCATCATGAAAATTGATGATATTGTAAGTAATACTGGAAAAAGAGCTCTCATTGTTCTTTCATTGGAATGTTGTATCACCCAACTAGAGACACTTTCAGTTAGAATTGCTGTTATCTTAAACTTTAGACTAGATGAATGCTGAATCCATGGCTTTACAATATAGAAAACTTTTTTTCATATTAAGATACTTCTTGATTGAGTATGTTATTGAAAGGAGGTTGCATGTAAATGAGAATCTAATTGAATATTTAATTGAATATGTTTTTGTTTGTGTTACAGGTAAACTGTATGCGTTAAATTATTTAAAGATCTATTAGAGAATTGTTCCCTCTGCATCAAAGTAAGGTTTCCAATTGAACAAAGAGAGATGGACAATCATGGTTCCCACACTTGTTACATCAGCGGAGAACTTTGAAGTGTGTATGTGAAGTACATGTGCTGCAAGTGAAGCTCGGGAGTTAACACTCATCATTGACAGTGAAAATACAACAAAAAGATTAACTACACGTCTTGTGTATGAAATAAACCAGCATCATGCTGGATTTCGATAATTTTGTTACAGAACTTAAATTGAACATTCAACGCTTATGTTGTTATTTAACCATTTGGTGTTCTCTCATCAAATCTTCATATTTATGTGTAAATGTGTGATAATATATGTGCTGCCTGTCCTTTTGATAAGTAAAATTTGAGATATCTTCAAATCTTTTGTTATCCTTTACCATAATGAGCCTATCGGACCAGTTGTCCTCCCGAAAATATCCAAAATGGTTCAATCACAAGCAAAGTTTCACTTCTGGTTTGATGCATTATTTGAGCATTGGCTTACATAACCTCAGGTGAATATCAGAGGTACGTAATTTGAAACTTAATATCTGACAGCTTGTGTTTCTTGGGAAACTGTGAAAAGGATGGGTCTGTGCTGTTGTGATTGTATCCTTTGGCAAGACTACCATAATTACACTGGATGGCATGCAATTAGCATTCGTTATAGTGCAGTAGCCACTAGCTATTACAAGGAGACCTAGCTTCAAAACGAACCTTGCTGTACACGGGCAGCAAACCTAACAAAGCACAATTAGATCTTGTTTCATTTCTGACTGATATGATTCAGTTTCAAACAAAAACAGTTCGTACTTGTATGATGGCATAACTCAATTTAAGTTGCCAGAAAATGGGTTTCTATATTCACTTCAGTGGTTTCTGGACTGGTTACCTGAGGTAACTTAGGTTGAGATCTGTTGAAAGTTTAGAGATACTTGTCTGGTGATGAACTTTTCCAGGTAGTGTTGGTTTTGTGTCTTTGAGCTTCAAATTTTGTTGTAGGAGGGAGGAATGTTGAGTAAGTGACCTGGGCTAAATGCTCCATATTATGTCTTTTTTTTTTACCCTGCATTGCCCTCTTGGACACTACAAATTAATTTACCAAAAAGTCTTGACCTTGTCACTCATACAATTAACAAATTGATTGCATTACAAATTATTTAATAGAAAATAAAGAAAAAATTGATCTTTACCTCATGTACCAAATTTAAATGTGACCCACAAAAGAAATTTGATCACTGATCTCCACAAGGTCATATAAGGTAAAGATTACCATTACAAAGTTTAATTTCAGTTTAATGAACACATCTTAATTGGTTAAAATCATAGGCAGGAAAGTCTAAACCATTGCACTGCTCATTGCCTGTGGGTGAAGTTTTCAGTTTCATCAAGATATTATCCACAGTTCAATTTACAACGTAAAAATGTACAGAACTACGGTAAAAATGTTAACACCTTTTTGATCTTTGACTTCGAGGTGTCAATAACAGTCTGTACTGTTAGCTGCTTGTAGGTAATGCATTTATGCTTCAACATGTTTTGAATGATTAAAAATTATGGCCAAGATCCGTTTGTCTAGTTTATTGTCTATGAGACATCTTACTAGTAAATTAATGCAAATATTGTATACTCGCATGATAGCAATACTAAAGTGATTTGAAAAGCTGTTGACATTGAATAAGTACCTTTTCCCATACCTTAGTTTAATTTTGGCCTATGTCATTGAATGATGGCCTGAATAATGTTGTCAGAGATGAGAGAAAACTACTCTGGAATAAAAAAAAAGTAGGAAGGATTGGTCTTGTTTATCTAAAGATAAGAAATTGTAAAACATGATGCTCCCTAAAGATTCTATATCTTGACTTCTAGTAAAAGCTGGACACATATCATATACTTCATAAATCAAATGTCTGCATTGAAGACTAACTGTTGATAACAATGTGTGAAATCCTCACCCCAAAATATCCTCTTTTCAACGATGGTTTTCAGAACAATTGAAAATAAAAGTAAGACATTTATCCTTTTCTTTTTAATTTATTACTTCGAGATATATTTCTTTCTCCAGAATTAAGACTCATCATTCATTCTTCATGCATTTCCCAACTTTTACACTCAACTCTCTCTCTGTGCATTATAACCCAAGTTTCCATGTGATACTGATAGTAAAGAAATAGGAAAGAAAGTTCAGTAGAAATCAGAAACAGACTTGACCGGGTTATTCCAGAATAAATTCTCGAATAAACATTTGGACAGGATTAAGTAACTAACATTGCGACTACTTATAAACAAAAACACCATAATCACTAACTGCTAAACAACATATAAATTAATATACAGTATATCTAAATAAGTACATGTAGCTAAAATCTGAAATGGAAAATTTCACAGTATTAATGAAGATTGGTCTTCGTAACAGTTACATTTGATTTACAACACTTGTGACCATTATTTGTACACTGTACAATATCAGACTTTCTGCTCACAAATATTAAAATTAACCGGTATGTTACATTTTATACAGCAAAGTTGATTTTATATGGCATAATATATCTATATTGGCCTGAATTGTAAGAAATATGTTCCAGATATATGACAACTAATCTGATTAAAGTTTTCCAGTAGCTGAACCAGTAGGTGAGGCAAATTAATGTAAAATAACGACATCTCATTTCAGAACATTAGAAATCACTAAGGTCAACTGTTATGTACCACAGGAAATGGTAAACTCCACAACCAGACTTTTCACAGGTTTGATATTCTACCTTTGCAAACTTAACTTTCTGCAAAGTTAATAACAATGCAAGAATGTTGTGCTAGGTCACGTGAATACCATCCATAGAAAAAGTATGGAAGTTTTTACATCTCCAAGGAAAGACAATTACTTCTGGTGAATACTTGAAAGAACATTATCGAGATCCAAGTATTAAAATTGTTTTTGTTTAAGTATTTCAAACCTATTACCAGTACATAACAATAATATGTTTAAAACTTGATATTCAATATAAAGCATATTAATTGCAGCACCATGAAACATTTTTCTTAAGTTGATTTACCACATAAAAGCTACTCTCAAGTAAAATAAGAACGGTTAATCTATCAAACAGTCTTTGTCAAAAACTAAGTCCAAACAAAACCCAAAATACAATTTGTTTTTTAGACTGTTTCCTAACTAATTCCATGGAGGAATCCCAGGTAATATTATTAATACCCAACAGCTAGTACATATTGAGGATTCAATATCAAGTAAAAGGTCTATAGAAATGGAGTCTAATTTACCATAAGCTACCCATGGCTTAACAACATTTCTGACTCCTCTTCTCTGAATAATTCTGGTAAACTGGTGATCTTTTTAAAGACTGATACTTTTGAATATCTTTCATTTGCTTACAATACATAACTAGACTCATTTGAAATACACTCAGCTTGCATCAGCATGCTCCTTTCATTAACATATAAGATATTATTAGATATTATACTGGTATTGGACACTATTTGTTCTAGTTCTCATTGCTCATCATCTAAATAAACATATCACATGCAAAAACTCGTATCATGAGGACAAATCTCAACAAGAACTTAAAAAACAAATTGTTACAACAGTAAGCAATACTGACATATGACAAACGGCAGAGCAGTATGAAAAGTAATTTACATTCCTATTTGCGATTTGTCATTGTCAGTGCAAACATTAATAGGTTAGGACTATTTCAGTAAAGCATCTACTTCACCCCAAGACTCCAAAATAATAAAAATCACTTACCTTCTACGCAAATAATAAGTTAAATACTATGGGTAGTACCTCTACACGAGGCTGGGGGTGGGACAGATGCTTTACCGGAATAGCCCTTAGACATAAACAATAGATTTGTATGCATTAAATGGTTTTATACAATTCTAACTTTAATACAAGATATATATATATATATATGTATCTATGATTATTGTGAGCATGATCCAGCGAAGTCATTTCTCCAAGGAAAATCTATTATCTGTACATATATACAGTGTATCCTCTAAGTAAAACCTTCAGTGAATTCTAGTAAAATATATCTTTATATACCATAACTATTGCATTTTACAGTCCTGGTTATCCTCATCTTTCACACTAGAAGTGTGAGTATCAGTTTTACGTAGATGTTTACGAATCTCTGGAGATTTACGTAGACTGAGAACTCTCTTAGCTTGTCCTGCTTTCCTTGTCAGATCATCAGATGTATGTTTAATCTTACTAGGACTGTTGGTGATCGTACTGAGAGGATTCTTGTTGAGTTGCAGATCTGAAGAAGAAACAATCAATGTTAATTTGCAATGTTACTTGAGAGCTGAATTTTCACTAGTCAAGTTCTTAGTATAACTACCTAGAACATACACAAACTGTACCTGAAAAAATAACAGATAAATCACTGTCTTGAGCTTATAATTAAAGTTTTTTGTGGTCCCTGGATAAAGAGAGAACTAGAAGATGTGTAAAACAATGACTGTGAGCAATAACATACCGGCAGCACTTTTGATTTTCTTTGGCACAACTTCGTCACGAGCCTCAGACTGGAGTTTGCGTTTCTCCTGAGACCGTGTCAGGACCGGTAGCCCAGTTGACTTTGTAGTAGATGATTTTGCACTCCTTGACCTTGTGACAGGTGAGGAGGATATTTCTTCACTGCTATCTCTCTGTTGCTGTGGAACCTGCAGTTGAGATACTTTGGTCTGTGACTGAATTTTTGAGTTTATGTCTTTTAAAGAGTTCTGTAAGATTTGGGAGGATGAAGACCTAGTTGATGGTCTGTGAGACACTTTGTCCACTTGAGATTCATTTGGTGATCCTGGTTTTGACACTGAAACAGAGGGATAATCTAGTTTCCTTGAATTGACTGGACGTCGAGGTTCAGGTTTCACCATAGTGAAGTCTTTGACATTTTCTATTATAGATGGCTCACTGGTTGTTGTACTAGATGAAATGTCAGAAACCTTTGAAACCACTTTTTCTTCTTTCTTCTGCATGTTCAACATTTTAACTACAAAAGAAAGACAATTTTTAAACATAAGTACATTGTACCTCCATAAAATCAGCATTAAAAGGCTTTTACTTCCTCTAATTAGGACCCCATGCTTCACTTATGTAAATCCTAAAAAGGTTGATGTAATAGGCAATGGATCTCTATGATTTTTGATACCATAGTTTTCTTGAGATGATAGCTTAAATGATCTTGAATTTCAATAAATAATGGCTATTCTTGTGATGATAGTTTAAATGATTTTGAATTTCAATAAATAATTGCTAAATTCTTGTGATAATAGTTTAAATTATCTTAAATTTCAGTAAATAACAGCTATAATAAGGAGAGTCAAATACAATAAGGCAATCTTAGATATTTCCAATAGAATGCCATCTCTACAAATATCAGTGCTATCACATCAGGTCAAAATGTTTCAGTTCATTATAACACTGCATAGCAAAGTCCAAGTGACAAACTGAAATATTAGCAATACAATATCATCAATATTTCATAACAAGGTGAAGTGTACACACTTATTTTTTTCTTGTTATTTGTTTCCTAAAGTTTATTCATTAATTATGTCACAGATTCTGCAATTGTTTGGGTTATGTTACAATAACGTGACATTGAAGTATGTTAACACTAAAGTGGACCCATGATAATCTGGACAAAGATCTACTGCCATTGGACTATAAAAAAACATAACTTAAAAATTGTTAGTTTTCACTTCCTGGGACTTACAATCCTTTTTCACTATAATATATATATATAAGGACCATGGGCTGAAGTATAACATGTGATCACATACTTAGACCTGTCACTCTGGTATTTAATGAAAAGTTCTGCTGTTTCAAGGATTTCCTTTCAGCCATTGACTGCAGTAGTTCCTCCTGATATTTATCTCTCTCAGCCTCTGCTGTCTTTAGTCTCTCTTCCACATCCTTGCTTTCCTACAATATATAACATAACATAATAGAAAATGAAAAACATCAATACCTCCACTTTGATGTACATCAGTATTATTGTTTAGCAAATTTCCAGCAACAATATCGATAACCTTGAAATACAGACTTATTTCTGAGAAATACATAAAGATATTCATCAGATTCTCATATCTTTTTTACCAATGAGTAAAATTTGACAAAAATCCCTTACCATCAAAAGGCCACCAAAGTAAGATCTTTGTAATGGCTGATGAATATATATATATATATATATATAATGACCTTGACCTTGGCATGAACTGATCCAAGGTATTGTGATTATTTGATCAAGATCCCTTAAAGAAGTGAAGTCACTTAAGGTGATGTCACTGAAATGGTTAATGATTTTCAATAAATAGTAATGATGAAATTGATCTTAGAACTATGGAACACAAAAACCATTCTACTGATAAAGCCCAGCACCTGTAATATAAGGCCGGTCTATAAGTAGTGTAAGTAAACAAAACTGTTCATTGTGGTGTCAGCTACAAGGAACAAACAATATAATCTATTTATTATTAAAGAAGCACAGAGGTGAACATATAAATAGAGATAATAACAGGACCATCAGAAGGCATTTGCTGGCTATTCTATAGAAACTGTCATAGATGTGGGAAGGTATATTAAAAAACAAACTTGGGCATATTGCCAAATAAATACAGCAAAGACAAAAATACTAATGTTTCCTTTTTTTCTTAATCACTGTTCATTCTGCTCTCTATGTCAACAACCTCATCATACTTATATAAGCTATTATAAATGAATTTCATTGTAAACAGACTCGGATCTAAGCAACTTTGTGATTAGAGCTGCCTCTCTCCTTCTCGATACTAAATAACTCCAGTTGTTGTGTAGGAATTATTTTCTTAAGTTCCAACTTACTGCCTTAACATTTTATCTATGGACTCAAAAAGGAAGTTATCAACAAGTGAGGAAGAGTATCACAAAGGACAAGTAATACTTCAATATTTCTGCCTTGATAAAGAGGTAACATGCACCTTTGAATCTTATACTCTGGCTAATGTTGCATGAAAACGCTTTTGATTAAAAAACATACTGATGCTGATTCTGGCTCCCTGTTGCCACGCAGTTGTTTGAGCTTAAGTGAGCGAGCCTTCTCCGCAGACAGCTCTGTCTGTAACTGAGAGCACCGACTCTCCCACTTCTTCATCACCTGCAATGATAATACAGCTTGTCACTTACAGACTGAAGGAGCCTTTATTAATGGACATAAAGTCCTGGTTAGATTGTATAATACAAGTTCCTGATTTTGCTCTCTTGTAATAAACTGGTTTCCCAGTCAATAAAAAAAAAAAGAAAAGAAAAGATGAATGACATGAATTTGCTGTTCAAATATCAGATTGCTGGGATGGTAAGATGGATAAATGATTCTGTTGGAAAACTTCTCAATGAATAAATATATATATACCTTAAGACAAAACAATCTTGAATAAACATAAAATGAGATATCAAAAATTGTAGAGAGAGCCTAAAGAGGGGAAATTGTGATATTCAAAATACAAATGTTTTATATCAACTTGCTTTAGCCATTGTTTACAAATGTGACTGCCTTGTTTCTAAATTTGTTCTGTGCTATTTTCATAGGGCTTTTTCAAATCAGTTTGGTGGTAAAACAGGACTTTCAGAAAGGGCTTCTGGCACTGAAATAGCATCAAGGCATAATTGCAGGTGTAAACAGTGTTTATTCACTTTCTACTCATATGTTTTCATTGTGGTGTCCTTAAATATGTAATATTGTAATCATATACCTTAACAAGTTTCTCCTCTTCAGTTGTCTGTGTCTGTAATTTATCGTTGAGCTCTGCGACCTGTCTCTCAGCTAGGTCAAGTGCTGCTTGAAGCTCACCACTATCCTGACCTCCTGCAGCCTGGGTCTCAAGCTCAGTGATTGCTTGGCGCAGCTGCTGCATCTCGGACTCATACTGTTCCTTCATTTTTTCTGTAGTCATAGAGTTATCACCCATCATCCTCTCGATTTCTTCTGTGTGACAGGAAGTGAGCCTCTCCACCTCAACTTGATGGGAAGACATCATATCTGCAATTTTAGTGTCCTTATCAGAGATGTCTGCAATCATCTGTTCAAACCTCTTTGTAAATTCCTCCTGAAAAACAAAAATATGAGAAATATTTTTCATAGTAGGCATGTCCTCACAGAGAAATTATAGCAGAAATGTTCAAAACCAATCAATCCTTTTTATGTCTTTTACCTGCAGTTAGTTTGATTTGTTTTCTATGTTTGAAGAGGAGTGTGATATTTAGCATATTGATAGTCTTCACACCAAAGATGGAATACCAGCCTCCTGAATTAGGCTTTCTTTGATCTTTGATTGTATCGGATAGAGTTACAATTCATAAATAAATGAGAGGGTAGAAAATGTTTGAACCACAACAAATAAGGTACTGGAGGCGTCTTAATAGAATATATGTCTTTTAAACCTGACAAAGAGGTGAGATGTCACAGGTGAACATACCTTGATGGCTTCTAAGGTGGCATTGGCCTGCTCGTATTTGGTGAGTGAGCTCTTGGTAGTGACTAGCTCTGCCTGTACAGCACACAGTTGGTCATCCAGCTCTACACGTTGTGCCTCCTCGCTTGCCAACTGCTTCTGGACATGTTCAGCTTCTTTCTCCTTATTATGACACTCTCCCTTCACATCTTCAACCTGTTGATCCAGATAAAATAAATTTTCAGAAACTGATAAAATTTCTTAGAAATTACAAACATGTATTTCATTTTTAAAACTACCATTAAAATGAATGTGTCAGTCAAACTACATTTTGATTTTGAGAATCAAAATTTATGGTAATTACTCTTTAGAGGTATAACTTAGTTTTGAAAACTTGACATTCAAATAAATCAAATCTGTAAAGGAATGAAGAACCAAAATTGTTTTAGATTTGGCTGTTACATTTCACAACAGACATCTCTCAAAGTTGATAAATTACACTAGGTATCTCAAAACTTTATAATCCACAAGACAATCCTTGCAGTTCCTAACTAAAAACTGAAAAATGGTCATTACATTATCCTCATAATAAACTAGTGTACTATCAAGTACATCAAAACAGCATTAAAGGTAAATTGGATTAGATTAAAAAAAAAAAAGTTTTGATAATTAAGATGTGTTTACCTCAAGTTTGAGAGCATCAATAGTCCTTTGCAGCTGTGCTTTATCATTCTCCAGGTTGAGGAAATCACTGAGTAGTTCACTCTTCTCTCTCTCTTTTGTTGCACACTGCTGTGTCAAGCGCACATTGTTCTCAGTTAATGTCTTGATTTCTGACCTCAGTTCCTCAAGTTGACCATCGACCACCTGCTGTGACTCCTCTCGGGAGGTCAATTTTTCAGTAACTTCTGCTAATTGTTTGTGGACCTCACTTAACTCTGTCTTTACACTGCTTTCTGATTCACACACAACTCTGTGTTTCTCTAATGTCTCTAACATCTCAGTATTTAGAACGTCTAAATTGTCATTTAAAGTTAAAACTTGGGCTTCTAGCTGTTTCACTTTGTCCTCACTCACCTTTACTTGTTCTGTGAGATTAACATTTTCATCACTCAGATTGTTTTGCTTTTGTGAGCAGGAGTTGAATTTGTCACCAATCTCTGCAATTTCTACACTGAGGGCTTCAATCCTATCTTGAAGTTCTTCCCTCTCGACTGTCCAGGATGCCTGCTCCTGTTCCATTTCTATCCCCTTACATTTGTCTATATTCTGTAGCTCTTGTTCCAACTTAACTGCTGTCTGCTTTGCCTCTTCTCTCTCCAGCTTTGCCTGCTTCAATTCAGATTCAAGATTTGCCTTCTCTACATTCAGACTTTCACTCTCCATCTCTAGTGACTCCATTGCATCCTTGAAGCACTCCATATCTGATTCCGCGGCTTTTTTCTCCTCGGTCAGACTAGCAACCTGTCCCTGCAACTCTGTCAACTGTTTCTCTTGCTCATCCACTTTGTTGGTTAGTTTCTGAGCCTCTTGTTTTAGTCCAGTGATTTGTGCATCTTTTTCCTGAATCTTGGCAACCTTCTTCTTCAAAGAGGCCTCCAATTCTGCTTGTGCAGAACTCAGCACCACAAGATTTTCCTTAATCACAGACAAATCTGATTCTGCAGCCATAGTTCTATCCACCATTTGTTCTTTATCAAGAACGAAGTTATCAAGTTCTTGTTGACACGCTTGCTTTTCACTTTCAACCTTCTTCATTCTATCCATAACTTCTTCTAGTTCTTTTTGAATTTCAGAAATTTTCTTTTCCTTACAATTGATGGTAGTTTTTAGCTCCTTACATTCCATCTCTAGCACATTGTTTTGGGTATTTCCATCTCTGATTTGATTTTCAAGTTTTTCTATTTCATCCCTTGCTGCTGTCAAATTCTGTTGCAGGATTTCATTTGAATCAGAAAGGTCTTGTTTATCTTTATCTAATCTGGTAATAGCTTCATGTGTTTCGCCTTTCTCTACAGACATCCATTCAACCTCAGACATCTTCTGACAGTATTCTTCTTCTAATCTTTCACTCTTTTCCTTCCATTTTTGACAATCTGCTTCCAATTCTGAACAAGTTTTCTGATTCTGCTCTACAATGGCCTCCAGGTCTTTGACCTGACTCTGTTTTGTTTCCAGATTATCTTTGGTGGATTTCATCTCGATCTCCATCTTCTGAACACAGGTATTCAAGTCCTCCTTGTCTCCCTGCAAACACTTCATGTCCTCAGCATAGGAGCTCACCAGTGATGCCAAGTTCTGAACTTCTGCCTGTAGATCGGAGATACGTTGAGAGAATGTTTGCGTCTGCTGTTCTGAGCGTTCCTCACTTTCCTCAAGCTGGATTTTGTACTGCTCTACCTCTGTGTTAGCTTGCTGTGCCTTGCTGGTGAGTTCTTGATTTTCAGCACTAAGCTGGCTGATACGATCCTGTATTGCCTTGTAATCTATATCCAGGGAGTCCCGTTGGTGCTGAATGTCTTGGGAGAAGGTCTGGGTGGCCTGAAGCTGGGATTGAGACTCAGAAACCTGTTCTTCTAAGCACTGGTTGTCTTCTTTTAATGTTGCCATCTGCTTCTCTAGATCTGTTACCTTGTGTCTCAGGTCAGCACTTTCTTGTGATGTTTCTGACAGAAGGTCACTGAGACGCTCTTTCTCTGACAGAATTTCCTGCATATTTGATTCATTTACTTGTAAAATTTCTGACAAGTTTTCCTTTTCTGAACTTTCAGTGTCAACCTTTGACTGTAATGATTCAAGTTGTGCATTCAAGGAGAAAATTTTATCCTTGAATTCCTCTATACTTATTTCTTTGTCTGCGATAACATTCTCCAATGTCTGTCTTTCTTCTTCTCTGTCAGACCTTAAAGTCTCCAACCTTTTCTCCATAGAAGTAATTTCAGAAGCGGCATCTGTAGTTCGGAGAGAGTTCGAGGAGAGCTCTCCCTTCATATGTGCAATTTCAGCCTCCTTGATACTGAGTTGTTCATGGGATGTTTGAAGTTCTTGTTGAAGATTTTCCAACTTACATTTACATGTCTCTACTTCCTCTTCCAAGCCTGAAATTCTTTTTTCTGCTGTCATTAAGTCACATTCCAGTACTTTTTGATTCTCTTCATTGTCCATGATTTCCTTTTCAAACTCTTCTATCCTTTTCCTCAGGTTGTTTCTTTCCTCTTCTACAATGGCTGATTGTTTCGCATTATAATCAAGTGTTTCCTCATGATGCTTCAGTGTTTGTTCGAGATTTGAGATTTTACCCACCCAGTCTGAGGAATTCTGTTCCACAGTTCCTAGCTTCAGTAATAACTCCTCCTTCTCTTGCTGGAGAGCAGCATTTACATCACCACTCTCACTCAGTCTATGCTGCAAGGTATCACACTCAGATTTCATCTCTGATATCTTCAGATGGTTGGATGATAGTTGTTCCTTTGTTTGGGTCAGTTCACACATCAGTTTCTCCTCTGTATCTTGTAAAGTCTTCTCCAGTTCCTTCAATCTGACAGTGAGATCATTCTTTTCACCAGTCACATTCTCAAAACTATGCAAGAGAGTGTCCTTTTCTGAGAGTAGCAGACTGACTTTCTCTGTTGCCTTAACATGGTCTGCTTGTAGTTGGTCAAGTTGTTGCTGGAGTGTCTTGGACAAATCGTTCTTGGTCTCGAGCTCAAATCTAGTCTCCTCTGTAGTTTGTACAGATCTCGCCTTCTCTGATTGCAGGGCAGATAACTCTGACTGCAACTCCTCCATTCTATTTTGTAGATTGTTCTTTTCATTCTCAAGGGATACCACTAATCCTTCTAAATGTTTTCTGTCATTTTCAAGAACTGTCATGTCATTCTGGGAACTTTGTAAAATTGAGTCTTTTTCCAAAAGATTGCTCTCCATGTCAGCTTTTTCTGCAGCATGTTTTTCCATATCAGCTGATGATGCCTCCAACAAAGTGTTCAGTTTGTTTTTCTCTATTTCCAGTGCTTTGATGTTTTCCTGGAATTGCAACTCTTTCATGACAAATTCATCTTTCACCTGGGATAATTTTAGAGTAGCATCAGTGACTGCAGTCTCTAGAGAAGTTACCTTCCCTGTAAGTGACTTAACCTCAGCTCTCTCCTGGTCAAGAAGATTTCCTAGACGCTCCTTTTCGTCCTCCATCATTGTGCTATTATTTGTCATCGCCTGGAGTTGATTCTGCAGACTTGCCACAGATTCACACATATCAATGTGTTCCTGATTGGTCGAGTCTTTAAGACTTGTATTCTCTTTTTTAACCAGATCCAACTCACCACGTAATTGAACAATTTCCTGTTCTTTGAGAGACATTTCTAGATCCATACTTTCCAGTTTACAGAGCAAATCTTGCTTCTTTGCATGAAATTCAGTTTCCTGTTGCTTCAACAGATCCATCTGTTTCTTCTTTTCAGAATCTATGGTGTTATTCAGTTCTGATATTTCATTTTCTACACTAGCAGTCAGATCAACCAATTTTTTCTCTAGATCTCCACACTGTTCCACTCTCTCAGCCAGATTTTTCTCAAGTTTGGAAATTGTCTCAGTTGATTCCAAAAGTTTGCTACACAAAGCCTTCTCTTGATCTAACCAATTTCGTTCCTTTGTGTTAATTTCTTCTGTCAATTTTTCCAAGTTTATATTAAGTTCAAACCGTGCTTCCTCTTTTTCCTCGAGCTCCCTCCTGAGTCTCTGAATAGAACCCTCACACTCATTCATCTTCTCTGTCATCTTCATGTCCATTGCTGCCTCATCAGACAGCAGTTTTGAGTTCTTTTCATCCAAGTTGGATACATTTGACTTCAGTTCCTCCACTTGTGACTCAAGTTCAAAAACATTTTGTTTTAAAGCAATTTCTTCATTCTTGGAGGATTTTAGACTTTCTTGCAAATCATATCTTTCTTTTTTCATCAGTTCAACATCTGAAGATATTGTCTTCATCTTGTCATCAAACTCCTGTTGCTGCAGCTCTTTTTCTGATTCTAACTGCCTGATTTCACTCAGTTTTTCGTGCAGCTTATTCCTTAATGATTCCATTTCCTCTTCAAGACGTTTGATAGTTTGCTCCTTCTCATGTTTTTCCTCATTTACACACAGCATGTTTTTATCTGAACTCTCCTTCTGACATGCCATTTCATCCTGGAGTGATTCAATAGCCTTTAGCTTTGTTTCTACAGTGACCTGAAGTTCACTGATGAAGGTGTCCTTTTCCTCTAGATTTTTTGTCAGACTCTCTACTTGCCGTCTGAGTGCTTCCATATCATTTTCCGTTGAGGCGTTCTTTGATATCAGAGCATCATACTCCTCATACATCTTCGTGGATTTATCTTTCAAAGACGTCAACTCTGAGACATTATTTTGTAAGCATGTCTCCTTGTTTTGCAGTTGATCCAATGAATCCTCTAATTGCTTTTTCATATTTTCCATGTCAATATCCTTTTTCTCTCTTTCCTCATTTTTCTGTGAAATTAACTTTTCACTTTCCTCTAATTTCTGACCAAGTGCCTTTAGTTCTTCATTGCTTTGATTTTTCTCAGATAGTATGGTATCAAGTTTCTGTTTCAGCTCCATTTCCATGTCTCCTGTTTTTCTTAAATTTTCACCAAGTTGACTACTGGTCATTTTCAGTTCCACTTCTAGATCTGCACACTGACCTTTTAATTTGTCGGCATCTCGTTCCAAACTTGCAATGTATGCTTTCAACTTGTTATTTTCTTCCCTTAGGCTGTCTGTACTGCTAGTGAGATTCTGAGATTTGTCAGTCATATCGGCAATGGTGGCATCCCGATCTTCAATGTCCATTTCCATCATGTCTAGTTTACATTTAGCTGCATTTAATTCATCTGATAAACTTTCAACTTTGGTCTCTGCTTCCTCTAGATGGCACTTTAATTTTTCTTCCATTGTGCTATTGGAATCTATCAATGAATTATAAGCTGATGTTTTGAGCTCCAGACGTTCTGTTGCATCCCCTAATGCCATTTGCAGACGGTCACATTCTTGAGTTAAGGTTTTTTCACTTTCCTTAGTCTGTTGCAGTTCCTCTCGATGACTATTTAAGAGTGACTGTATGTCTGCCATATTTACCTGCAGTTTCTGTAATTCCTTGACTTTCCGGTCCAATATTTCCTGTATATATTCTACCTGCACTTGTAAGTTTTGCATGTCTTTCTTGTTGGATTTCTCTAGTTCTTCCTTTTCACTCAACAAATTCTTGAGCTTTTCTTCATTAATCTGAATTGTTGACCTGAGTTGTGTGATTGTATCAAGGTACTCTTTCATACTGCTATCTTTCTCATCCATTTCAGTCTTCAGATCTGCTGTCTTGTTGCTGAGTTGATCATATTCACTACATTTATGATCCAGTTTACACTGGACTTCAGCAAGAGAACTCTCAAGTGATACAACCTGTTTTTCGAGACGTTGCTTACATTCCATCTGCTCACTGAGATCTGAACATCTGCTTTCCCAGTCGTCTTGAAGTTTACCACACTGCACTTGTAAGCTGTTGATGCTTTCGTCCCTTTCAGAGAGATCGTTTTTCAAGTTTGTGATAGCTACTTCCAAATCCTTCAATGTATTACGGAGTTTTACAATCTGATTGTCTTTGTCCTCACATGATGATGTCATCTCCACTAGACTGTATTTAAGCTTATCTGTTTCCTCACAGAGATGCTGGTATTTATCATCATCCTCCTGTAATGCCTGAGCCTGCTTACTGACAACAGAGCTTTGCTGCTCCAGCTGTGATTTCTGATCTTGGCAACATTGTTCCAGTGCAGTGTGTTGTTCCTGGAGATTATCTATTTTGACCAAAATATCAGCCATCTCTGTCTCAGCTTTGGTCAGGGCCTGTTCCTTCTGTGACAAAGAGAGCTTAACAGCTTCCAGACTCTGCTCTGTTCCCTGCACCTTTGCTGCCAAATCTTCCATACATTCATCCTTGTCTTCTACATCCATCTGTAGCATCTCCATCTTAGTCTGGAGCTGTTGGTAATTTTCTGTCATTGTATACAATTCTGTCTTCTGTCGCTCCACCTCCTGATCACGGGCTTTTATCAACTCAAGTCCTTTGTCTTTCTCTGTTGTAACAGTATCAAGCTGTTGTTGGAGTTTGGATGTGTCTGTCTCCATAGATATACACATAGACTGTGCATCTTTCTTGACACTCAACAACTCCCTTTCTAAAGATAAGAGAGTTTGTTTCTTATCCTCCACAGCATCATTTGCTTGTTTTAACTGCTCCTTTGTGGATTCTTTCTCTTTCTCTGATGTTTCCATCTTTTCTGACAGGCTCTGACATTTGTTAGCCAATTCTTTATGTTCATTTTGAAGTTGATTAAGAGTTTCTTTCAACTTATCATGCACTTCATCTTTTTCCTTGATCAATTCTGTCATTTTCATTTTCTCCTCTTGAAATTTAGAATTCTCTTCACGTAAATTGTTCAAACTTTCAGTTAATAACTGACAATCATTGTCAGCTTTTACTTTGAGAGCAGAAAGTTCAGCGTCTATGTTGCTAGCTATTTCACTCTTAGTGGTGAATGCATCGTTAGCCTGACTCAACTGTTCCTTTAGTTGATTGTTATCTGTTGATATGGTTTCCATTTGATCCACAAGAGACTGGCACTTTTGTGAAAGTTCACTATGTTCCATCTGCACATTCTTCAGTTCTTCTTGTACTTGAATGCACTCCTCCTCCCTGACTTTGAGAGACTCTTTAATCTTATCGTGTTTTTCCGTCATGTGCTGGAGTTCTTCACTTGTACTGCCCAGGCATTCTGCCTTTGTTTTCAGTTCCGCTTCAGCTTGTTGCTGAACTTCACTTAGTTCTGACCTTAACTGACCTAATTCTGCAGTCTTCAGTTCCACAGTGGTATTAGCTTGAGACAGCATACTTTGTAGTTGTTCTTTCTCCTTTATCACATCCTTCATTTCTTTTTCTATAGATTCTAGTTTAGCCCCAAGTTCTTTCTCAGAAGCCTTCAGTTCTCTATCATTGGTTTGTAATTCTGCACACAATTTTTCCTTAATTTCAACAACTTCAAGGGCCTTTTCTTTTTCCACACGACACTCCTCATACTCCTGTTGAGTCTTGGACAGCGTGTCAAATAATTCTTGACAGCGGATTTCAGATTTTTCTTTTAATGAGGACAATTCAGTCTCCATCTCCAGAAGAGCCTGGTTTTTACACAATACCGTAGAGTTGGCTTGATCATACTGACTCTTGAGTTCATTGTTTTCTGATTCAAGTGCCCCAAGTCGATCATGGTATCCCTGAAGCTTGTCAGTTAGGGAGGAACTTTCAGTTTTAAGGTCAGCTAAGTCCTGTCTGAGCTGATCACATTCTTGTTCCTTCACTATCAGCAGTTCAGCAATTTTCTCATGTTTGTCCCTGGTAGCATCTAAGTCTCCTTGTACACGCTCAAGCTGCTGTTGTTTTGCCTCGAGACTGGAGGAAAGCTCATCCTGTGATGACTCTAGTTGGTTACCTAAATTTTCTAATTCATTGGTCTTTGACTCCAGAGCACTCTCTGCCTGCTGTAATTTAGTAGAAATTGTCTGTTTCTCTGTAACCAAGATTTCATGCTCCTCTGTCAGAGTTTCAAGTTTTCCTTCTAATTCTTGTTTGGTTGATGTCACATTGTCCATCCTACTAGTAATTTCCTCCAACTCAGTTTCCTTCTTAGAAACAATATCCTGGAGTTTATCTTTTTCAGTCTTTGATGTTTTTAGTTGATCTCTGATTTCTTTTACATCCTTCTCCATGTTATTCCTTTCATTTACAAACTGTTCTTGAAGAGCAGACAACTCTGCCTTTAAAGCTTTGGTTTCTTTCATGTGTGACTCAACAGAATCCTTGGCAAGTTCTAACTTCCTCTTTGTATCCTCTAGCTCACCAGTTGTATTTTTATATTTCTCCTCTAATTGACACAGAGCATCCTTGGAACTATTCAACTCATGCACATTTTCCTCTTGAATTCTTTTTAAGGCATCATTCTCCTGTTCCTTATTTTGCAAAACAGTCTTTATTTGTCCTTCATTGGCCTCAAGAACTTTGACCTTTTGCTCAAGGTCAGAAATTTGTCCTGCGTTGCTCTGGGCTACAGAGTCCACCTGCATCTGTACAGACAGCAGTTGCATCTCGAGTGAGGTGATCTCTGCAGCCTTGGTGTCTGCAGCTTGTTGGACATTGGTCATTTGACTATTCAGCTCAGTTAATGTGTTCTGGTGTCGTTCCTCGCACCTGATCGCCTCATCCTGCAGACCCTCCAGAGCTTTCCGGAGTTCCTTTATCTCTGTCTCCTTGTCCTCCACCTGTTTCTTAGACTCCTGCAGGTGGTTGGTGGCCGTCATGTGACTGGAGTGTAACTGATCTAATTTGGTCTGAAGGCAATGATACTCATCCATGGCCTTCTTGTGTTTGTTCTGTAGAGCGTCAAGGTCTGACTGGTACTGTGAGTTACTGAGGGATAGTTGAGCGTTTTCCTTTTCTTTTTTCTCGATAGTGGTCTTCAGATCCTGGAATTGGTTCTGTTGGTTCCTATGATCACTCTGAAGCTGCCGTAGCTCCTTTTCCGATGCTGACAGTTTCTCAGCCATCCCCTTGTACTCTGCTTCCTTTTCATTACTCTGGTGTTTCATTCGAGCCTCTGTCTGTTGCCAAGATTTCTGCATCTCTGAAATACACAACAGGTAACAATGAAACCCCACATATGTGTGATCATTTCTAAATAGCACAGGCATACATCATAAAAAGAAGCAAAACTAAACTTGTATATAAAATAACAATGAACATAAGCAAATTATATGACTCATCTAAGGACCATAGAATCCTAGAGAAACTGAAAACTACTGGAGTTTGAACAACTAACCATCTGATGATGGTATGCTAAAAGTTTTGATTCTTATATAACACCAAGTACTTACGTTGCGTCTGTCTATCTTTTTCTGTAAGACTGTCCTTAGTGACCTTGATATCATCCTTCAGTTTGTTCACCTCTTCCTCCTTGCTCTCTAATTTCTTCTGCATCAAAGTCTCATTCTTTTTCATTAGTCTGTATAAAACAACAATGTGAGTTTACAGATATTCAATAGTAACTCATCAAGTTACCTGTCATATCAAGATGTTAAATTATATCTTGTTTTCAACACTTTTTAAAAGGTAAAGTTTAAATGAACATTATCTTTTATAATATTGCTTCACTCGTGTGAAGTAGCACTAGACTATTAGGTAATTAGCTAAATATCAAGGAAAACATGTTTGTAAAACTCTGGTTTTCTTCGATATCTAGCTTATAAGCCCCGTCATTAGTTAAGATCAGGAGTTACTAACTTATTGGCTGGTGTCATACATAATAAAATAATCGTCCTCTAAATTTCATTTCTAGAGTTTTTCTGACATCAAAACCAATCAATTTCAAACATTTTGCTGATGTCCATACAAACATAGACTATGATTCTGTCAGTTAACAAATCGGTGTCAACATGTGTAAATAGATTAAAGAGCAGATCTCTTGAATAAATTGTAATGACATTTCTGTTTGATTTGAAAGACCTACATTATCATGAAAAGAAGTCAAGATCTAGTCTTGAGAGATAACCCTTTTGGTTTCTTTCCATGTAGTTATGGAAGTTAAATAATGAAGACTTAAGACAAGCTCTCTGTAGCCTGTTTACACTATCTAGACTTATGTCATACTTTCTGTAGCCTGTTTACACTATATAGACTTATGTCATACTTTCTGTAGCCTGTTTACACTATCTAGACTTACGTCATACTCTCTGTAGCCTGTTTACACTATCTAGACTTATGTCATACTTTCTGTAGCCTGTTTACACTATCTAGACTTACGTCATACTCTCTGTAGCCTGTTTACACTATCTAGACTTACGTCATACTCTCTGTTGCTTGTTTTTGTTCCTGTTGTGCCAGTTGAACTCGCTGTTGAAGCTTGCCTTGCTCCTCTGACACCTGCTCCAGTTTGCGAGTGGCATCCTGTTGCTGAGTCTGTGCCTTCTCCACCTCTGATTGCAGCTTGTTCACCTGTAAAAAACAACTGACTGTCAAAACACTTCTATATCAGATAATGTCTAAATGTAAACAACCTGGCTTAATCCAGCCAATTACCGAGTATTTTATTAATAATTGAATATGCTTGAAGAACATGAAGATTATCATTGTAATTTTATGTGTAATATCTATTAACCGGTACATAATATGTTTGTCAGCCAAACCATACATCTGAGTTATGTCTAAGTAACAAAATCATGTTTCTTGATGTCTGAAAACCTCACGAAGGTTATGGGAGCAATTTTTTTTGATATCTCAAGATGTCATGAGTACACAAAGAACTAATATTCTACGAATTATAAGATAAGATTTTATCAGATGACTAAAGAAAGTGTTTTCTCCGGAAGAAAAGCACCAACCCAAACCTAGAAAGAATACTACCAATTAACGGCTGAAAAATTAATGTTTTATAAAACCTTTTAGCATTGACACACTTGCAATCATTGGATAACAAGAAATGAATCGAATTACAATATCGAGAACCTGAGGTCCATGACATCCCTAGTCTACAGTAACCCAGTTTTTTCTTTCCCCTTTTTCAGAATTTATCATCTGCATCCAGGTCATTAATGAGTTTGGGTCAATAAAACCAGCAATCTGATAACATTCCTATCGCTTACATATATCTATCTTCATTAGCACAAGTAAAAATTAATATAGAGACCAACATATCGCTATTATACCATTCCTACCTTCTGGGATTCTGCCTCCATCTGGGCCTTGACGTGTGCCAGCTGACCATCCAAACATGATATTCTGTTGTCTTTGACCTGAATTTCCTGTGCTAACTTTTGTCGTTTCTGCTCTACAGACTCACAGCTGGCTGACAGTGTTTGCAGTTCTTTCTTTAAGCTGCCTGTCTGGTTCTTCTCTTCCTCTACCTTCCTCTTCTGATTGTTCAATGCCTGGTAAATTGAGATATACAGCAAATTAAGTAATGTTATCTTTTAAATGGCAAAACAGGTTTTATGTGAATTTATGAAAAATAAACCCCAAAAAACAACAACATTCCTTTTTATTTGTTTTTGTTATAACACCAAAACATTAGAGGAGATTCTGTTAGGTTTTCAATCTCTAAAAATCAAAACAACTGGATGATTTGACCAATGAAATCGGATTTTCTTTATGTAATTTAACCCTGCATTTTATTTTTTTGGGGTTCCTGTTTAACCAGTCACCCATATTATCCAATTTTTAATGGCACCAATCACTCATAAAACACATTTTAGTGTTGTCCCAACCACCCACAAAAAGACAATTTATCTGCCGCCTGATGCCCCCACACATTTAATTCTGGAACCACCCTTAGAATACTTACCTGAATGATAAGTTTTAAGGAGGGGTCACTATCAAGATTTCTCATGGGGCAAATTGTGTTACATTTTTTACTGAAATAAATTCCATAGTAGTCTACACAAGACAAAATTGATTTGGATTGCCTGAGGTTCTCACCAAATTTTCTATTCAACATTATCCAGCTTTAATCAATCATCTTAATTTTAAGTACAAACATGTGTTGCACTAAACCCAAGCTTACCTGCTCCAGGCTGTCCACTTGGAATTGTTTCTGGTCCCTCTCTTTCTTGACTTTATCCAGCTGAGCCTCAATTTGACCAACTTTCTGCAGTGCCTGGGATGACAGACCGTCCTTCCAGTCCCCACCTCCAGACCAGGAACTCCCATTAGCTACAGAAACTAAATTAAATCAGAGTTATTAGAGATGTGGTAGGAACATTAGACACTTTCAAAAAATAATTTTTCTCAACAACTAGGTATTTCTTTAAAGTAAAATGATTGAGGAAATCTCTCAGCAAATGAAAGTTTATGCAAATAGACAATGTAACATAATAAAATGGTCAAAATATTTGACACCATATATTTAATAACAAGCATAGATTATTTTTTTTCATATACCTTTACTATTCTGGGTACCAACAGACTCCATAACATTCCCTCCTGGTACTGAATTAGCTTGGTAATTAACTGATGAACCAAAGCCTGTAATAGAACTACTTTGATGATTGGCTGAGGAACCAAAACCTGGTATAGAACTGGCATGGTGATTGGTTGATGAGCCAAAGCCTGGTATGGAACTAGTTTGGTGATTGGCTGATGCACTGAAGCCTGGTTTCATATTTGCCTGCTGACTGGTTGATGAACCGAAGCCTGGTATAGAACTAGACATCTGGTTGGCCCGATTTAGATTATCCACCTTCATAGACAAATCAGATGATTGCTTTTGGTATTTCTCCAGTTCCCCTGTGGAATGCTTAAGCTGGTCTCCAAGCTAAAAAGTTTGAATGGAAAAATTGTGAAACACCAATATTGATAGACAATTTCTCTAGTTAACTGTTGTTCTGTCTGGTACCGATAATCTAGGTCCTTGACTTTTGAGCCATGAAACATTCTTACTTAAAGTTTCTTAGATATGAGTTTTTTGTTCTGTATCACATATTTTCTTAAACTGCAAAGAAAAGATTATGTTGGTGACCCAGATTCTGGATGCCACACCCACATTAGACATTGCAGTTCAGGGGTATTAGTCCTTGCTGTTATTTAGAGTATTCAGTATCAGTCATTCTTATACTATTGTGTCGGCTTCACTTCACTTTTAATGAAATAGCCAATGATTTATGGAGTTGTAGGATAATTTTACCTGCTTTGAGGGTCCCTGGGAAACCCTGCTTTAATGTCTTTGTTTGCCGATAAATGATAATCACATCAACTCTTTTACAGGGTTGTCAAGCAACTTTACCTGCTTTGCCTGTCTCTTTAATGGCCTTTTTGTTTAATGGGGGTGTAAGACAATTTTATCTTCCAACCTAATGGGTTTTTTTCTGTTTTACAGGATTAAGACAATTTACTTGTCTCTCTGAATGGTTTTGTTGCAGGATACTGATCATGATATCTAACATTTAATGGGGTTGTAAGACAATATTTCCTGTCTCTCTAATAGCTTTTTTCTGTGTTTAACTTAATTGAAAGAAAATTTTACCAGTCTCCCTAATGGCTTTGTATTCTGATTAACCAGACAGTAAAACAATTTTCCCACCTCTCTAAGTAATTTTACTTGCTTGCTACTTATCATGATATCCAAAGTTTAATGGGAATGGAGAACAGTTTTACCTGTTTTGCCTGTCTTTCTAACTCTTCCTTCAGCTGCTGAATCTCCATCTGATCTTTCTCCCTCATTGCATTTAACTGCTGTAGCTTATTCTGTAGATTACTCTCCATCCCTGTTTTGTAGTTTATAAAAAGAAAATCAAAACAATGCATCAATAAAACTTCTTGATTATAAATACAAATAGACTTTATCATGTTTTATAAATCAGTAGTCAGTTTTAAGTACAGAACTAGTTGTCTAACGCTGATAACTTCTTTTTATACCTGCCAATTAATAACACTCAAAATGTGTTTCTGTCCATACAAACTGGTAACTGCACATCTTTGCTGTAGAAATTATGCTAAGAGTTACAAAAGGTGAAAAGGAGAAGTACCACTTCGGGTTGTTCTGCAGCCTAGCAGTAATCAGTATGTTATTCAAAACATCAGATTTTGTGTGGTTTCATAGAAAACATTTTGGGGTCAAAGTATCAGGGTGGGGTGAGATTTGAGGGTGTGGGGATGTTTTTAGAACACAATACCTGTGGTTGGTGCAGACACAACAGGTTTTCTACTGTTGTCAACATTATGCTTGAGATCACTTTCAAGATTCCTAATACGGTCATTCTGACTGTCCAGCTGGACCTTCTGTTGTTTACAATACTCTTGCAGTTTCTGGTGGTCAGCTGTCACTTTCTCTATATTCTTGATGGAACTGTCATAATCTCTCTGGAGCTTTTCTAGCTCACCCTGAAGCTGACTCACCTGTAAAGAAATCAATTATAGTCTAGGTGAAATAAAAGAAAGAGCTTTTGCTGATATTGAAACTAAACGACTGACATTATTACACACAAACATATGGCATGTCCTTCATTTTCCTTTTCAATTTACGAAGAACTATGTGAATGAATTGACCAGGCTGGTAATTGTGTTTGTTGCATACCATTCATACCGTTTGTATTGTTGTATACCATTCTTTTAGGATATCCTTTCTCTCTTACTTTTGGTATCAGTTTCTTTTCTTACATGTGGCACATCATGCTTATGAAATCTTTACACCAAATAGCCTTCCCCTATCGATAATTCTGGTCCTTCTCATCTTTGAAGATACACCTAACCATTTAGGATGAATACAATAATTTCACTGCATTTTTTCAATAACTCATGTAAATTCAACCTACTCTGTAAAACCCTTGTGAAATAAACTTAATCACAATTTCCATGTAAAAAGTAGTCAGCATCCACTTTATATTCAAATTAGTAACACAAGAAAGGATTATAGAAATGATGATCAAACCTTGTGGGTCTCAGCTTCGTACAGAGATTTGGTGTGAGACAATTTGCCCTCTATACAGGAAATATGATTGTCCTTAGTTGTGAGCTCTTGCACCACCTTCTGGCGCTTCTGTTCCAGGTCCTGACAATTTTCAGACAGACTCTGATTTTCACGTTTAAAAACTGCTGCATGATTCTTCTCTTCCTCTACTTTCCTTTTCTGCACTTGAAGGGCCTATATATGTAGAACAAAGTTAATGAAAGTTCATGAGAATTGATGCCAAAAAAGAAAAAAAAATTTTAGTTGCATTTTACTCAATCTATTCAAAAGGATAGTGTGTATATTTGCTAAAGCTTAGACTCTGATTAAGCCTTTTAATTTCATTAAACCATCACAACTAATTGCACTATACTTCTTAAAGGTATAAATGATAGAAGGATTAATTTAAAACCCACACCTCGGAAAGTATGACATTGGCATACCTGTTCAAGACTATCTAGCTGAAATTGCTTTTGATCCCTTTCTTTTTTCAGACGTTCATATTGTTGCTCTATCTGGCCAATCTTTTGAAGAGCCCGGGCCGGCAGCCCATCCTTCCACTCGTCTGCTGCCCAGCTCATCTCTGAAATTTTACCGATAATTATCAAGCAAGAATTCTACATAATTTTTACGTCCTGTCAATTTTGCTTTCATTCTATATAAGCAGATCCAAAAAGCCATATAAATTTGATTAAGAAAAATAAACTGATTGCATGAGCCAAACTATTTTGCAATTGTATGATAAATACAGAGCAATTGACAATCAGTAATTAAAGGAATGAAAGAAAACTGGTTGGGAACTCCTTCAGAAAGTCAGTAAGGTAATGTCAGTAATGGTAACTATGAAAAACATCTATGTATTTTACCACTTAGTGCACCCAAAAAAAAATATTAAAATGATTAAAAGATAGAATTCCAGAAGTTTGATGTTTATGTTGGGGCAGTATCATCTCACAAAATCAATATGGTCATGACTTATGGAGCCACATTTTTTTGTCATGGACAATAGAATTCTTCTGTATATAAAAACACAAAATTTGAGTGACCCCTGCAAGGATAGTCAGATAACTTCATACTGGACCCAAGGATGTAGTCCCTTACATAGCAAACTCCCTCCCCCTCCATTAAAGGCATGCTCATAGAAAAATAAAATTATCTAAGTTATTTCAGAAAAAGTTATGTAGTTCCGAGGTTTATGTATCTCAACATAATAAATAAAATCATATCACAAAAGCAAATAAAAAACAGGTAAATCCGTTGTATTATTGATTACTGATTTTTTTTAAGAGAGAGGGCCTCTATAATGTATTGATGTAGTGTCATTGTAAAAGTTAAAATAGATCAGAATATAATGTGCATGTTCGATCGGTGCTAAAGCCAAGGACCGTTACCTCCTCTATGATATGATCATTAATAATAATATACAATAGGGGCTCTTCCCAAATATTTACAACCTGTCCTTACAAATCGAGTCATTATGCATATTGTTACTAAGATTTCAGTGTTGAATGTCCGAAGCTATGTCTCCCACTACAACAATTCCTACATAGGCATATAAATCAATCGTAAGCGTAAGTTTCTTACAACTGACCGATAAACAAAACCTGAGAAAGGCGCTAAAATATTTTGGACACTAGATGAATTGACAATTTGGTGATAAACTATGAGTGAAACAGTATGAAACTGGTTCTGTGTCGTTATATTAAACTGGAATTTGTGTGAAATACTTTTTGAATTCATTAATTTATCTGAGACCATTAACCCAATGTAATGTTGATTATGCTTACTAAAATTTCGTCCGCCATTCAAAAATCCCTCCTGTTTATGTGCGCATGCGCGAAATTCAATATGAAAACTCAATATAAACGTTTGAATCATTCCGGTCAGTGGCTACAAGAAGAGTAATGATGAAGATTATAATTGTCGTAAACAAAGTTTTTTCATTACCAAATATGTCAATCTCAAGATAATATATAATTGGTGAATTTATTATATTAGTGTTAGTGATACCTTGAATTTTCAATAATCTGTTCAATGTGTTTTGTTATTGTTTACGACAATTGACAATCTTCACATTCTTGGTCACTTTACGTCACCTCGGATTGCCCCAGCCAGATGCTAAAATGTTTGATCACCTTTCGATGCCCACACCTGTTTAGTCAGTCAAGGGTGTTTCCCCACAGTGAAGATTGTCATTATAGAGATTTCTTCGTCGAAGAAGAGTCGTACTTAACCTTTGTGATATCCAAACGCACAGGTAGGTCTACTTAAGTTTATGTGCTTCATTTTATAGCAGAATTAACTCTTGTTATTTTTACTTTTCTGGTGTTGGCAGCTGACCGGAGGTTGTTTTTCACCACAAAACACTGGCTTCAGTAAATTATGTGTTAATCGTTAAGATTACCTTCATACGCTTGGCGTAATTGTCACACGTCTCAGATCGGATGGAACTTAAACTATGTTTAGTATAGCACTTGTTGAAATTACTCCATTTTTAAATATCAAACAGAGAAGACTTGTTGATTTGGGAGTTTAAACCGATAGAATCTGACAATGTATTGGTGTGTGTTGATTTAAATGAGCTGTTTGTTTGATGTTGTGAATTGTACTTCATTAAATGAAGATAGAAAATTTTGTTGATTCATCCAACTTTGGCATTGTTAGATATTTCATAGAAAAGGATATTAAGAGTCAAATCAAGTAAACAAAGTTGATTGACTGGATAAGAATACACCCTAATGGCAGAGTACATAAATGTTTACAGCAAACTATAATATTGATGATGATGTTGTATTTGCAAACAAAAGTATTCAGTTACCCATAGTACACTGCAATATTACCATTATTGATAGGTAAGCAGAATACAATAAGATTTATAGAAAGGAATTCCAGCAGTTTTAATTCCATTGTAGGTAGACATTAAGTAGTTGTTCTGTTCCAGCACCTTCTGTGCTCAGAAAAAGACAAGGGTAGTCAGATTGGGCAGTGATAGTGAACTTGATGTCCAGGTGTTGATTCCCAGAAAAGAAGTAATAAAACTTATTGGGTCGCTTGGTTGTTCATATGGATATTCTGTTTATACTCTGGCTTCTTCCATCAATAAGACCCCTTACGCTTGTATCTTCATCAACATGAGTGATCACCATAAAAATCTATAAGTTGGAATATATACAGTTTAATTTTTAAAGACAATTATTAATTAAAGGTCATCTTTACATTCTGTATTTCTAAAGGCATTTCAAATTTTGGAAATGGTTCCTGCAATGTTGCTATGAATAGCGTTCAGATTTGAAAATCAATCCTGGTCGCTAAAATGTTCTTTTGAGGATTTTTTAAATATGTGATATGATATTTATTGATATACTCATATCTTTGAATATCATGATTGTGTGAGAAACTCCTGGCCTGTAATCCAGTAGAAATAATTTTAGAGTTTGAACAGTGAATGCTGTCTACCATAACAGTAGCACCATCTCATAAAAGATTAAAATGTGGTTTGGTAGCCAGTGAGATCTGTTACCTTTTTCACCACTTTTATTGGTACAGATCATGATAGATGTTACATTAACATCCTTTTCATGGTGTAGCTTTCTAGGTCAATAACTATGTTAACAAAACTTTGTATTGACCTTAACAGAAGTTTATAACTAACTTCCAATAATTGTATATGATTTTAATTATGTTGATCTAATATTATTGTAAGATTTTTTCAGCCAGTCCACCAGAACACTGTTTTCAAAAAAAAAAATTTTTGTTTTTTAAATTACTTTGAGATTAAATGAATTTTGGAAATCAGAGTGAGTCCAACAGGAATATCTGTGCTGTACACATCACAGGGATTAACAGGAAAAGATATCAAATTTCTCCTGCAAGACACTATAAATTTTTACTTTTTCCATTAGTTAATTCAGATGCATTTCATTATCATACTTTTATGTTACAACTTAAAAAGGTGAATAAATGTATCATTGTTCCCAAAGTTTAGATAGCTTGAATTTTCCCCGTTTCCAGAATTACTCTGAAACCAGAGATTCTGGTGAATGAGAATTCAGCACTTTGAAACATCCATGAACTGTAGGTTAGAGTAGTGAGTGAGTCTTTTACAACAAGATAATTAATGACTATCAGGTCAGTGACACTAGTTCTGTGTAATTTCCACCATTTTTCTGCCAATTTATTTAGGCCAGTGGTATATCCTTTTAACTTGTAATGTAGAAGCCATGTCCATGATTAGACCATAATGAGATTAGATTATTATAGAATTAGGGATGTTTTAAACTCTAGCCAAAGTCTTCCTCTTTATATACACACAGGGTAATCTCATCATGATCATCTCAGCTTAATTTGATCACAGGATATACTGGGGGATCCTATCTTTTACTGTCACAGTTAGTCATGGTAATCACTATATCATCATGTTCTGTCTACCAGGAAAAACAAAGGCATAGACACATTGTTTTATTGAATTGGTATGCAGTGTATCTTCAATTTCTGAGATGAAGTTTATATTGATTAGATATACTACACATAGAGCACAATCTATGAGTAGCAGTTAATGTATAGTTGTCATGCAGGGCTTCATCATTGTAGTGCAGTACATAGTTTCATCCATCGATAGCATTATTGGAATCAGTCTTTTATCAGTCTTTCAGATCTGCTGGAGAGAGTATACCAATTTCGTGAAATTTCAGAAAATGTCTGAATTAAATTTGTTGCTAAATGACAAATAATGATAAGGAGTACTGAAGTTCATGTATTTCAACATTTATTATTTGAAATTACCTGAATATTCAAAGTTTCGGAGGGGAAAAAAAAATCAAAATCTGCCTTGGACTGTTCGTGATATATGTATAAAATTATATACCTCACAAAATGAATCTTGATACTGCAGTGCATAATGAGTTCAGAAATAGAAATAACACTATAATTTTTTGGGGAATTGTTTGATCTGGATATACATATATGTACAATATGCTAAATCCATTTAAAACACGGTTAAGGTCTTTAAATTTTTACTTCAACAAAATCACTAAAGCTTCATCAATCAGATATTCAAATTTAATCATACCTTATATAATGTAATTAAAGTAGTTTTATTTGAGGAAAATATTCACTCATTATATAAAGATTGTACTAAGAATTACTGCATTATTGATATATATTGAATTCAATATAAAAATCTAATTGTAGTCACAGGAAGGTTTTTCAATGGACATACCGGTGAATACATTTAAACTGTTCTATGGTTTGTTCAGACATGTTTCTAATTCAGTGATATACAAACTATCTAAATTAAGATCTGCTTTGTTAGCATATTTCTTGTACAGTTGAATACACCTGTTTGGGTGTTAACTGAATGAATACATTTTGCATGCTGTTTTTTTTACCCATTACAATCTGGGAAACTATTATATATGACAATATTGCAAAAAAACATGCTAATATGTTGAATAAGAGCACAACAGGATATTTATTGTGTTTATATAAATCACAAATTTATTTCAAATACCTGAAACTCATCTACTTCTACACAAGAATTGAAAAAAATTCTTAAGAATAATAAAGTGTTAATATGATAAAGGTTGTTTATATTGCTATATATACTATACTGGTATATTAACAAACTGTTTTGTAAGTAGACTTTTGTATAAATCTTTCCTGTAATATTGCCAACTTTAATGTGATAGCGTGGGAAATTGACTGGTGATTCAGTCAGCTAAGTGCTGGTAGTGATGATCAGGTCTGTGTAGTGTCACACCTACCGTCCGATTTCATAATTGACATTCAGATACATGATTCTGTTAAAAATTGCTGGTTACATCATCATTTCACATTTCTGAATGTTTGTTTATTTGTTATAAAACAGATTAGTTGTTTTGCCACATGTGCAGTTTCTACAGAGGGGAGATGAAAGGGAAAATGTTGAAACAATGTATATGTGCTGTACCAAATTTAAACATTAACAACTGAAAGAATTGGAATTACAACATCTACCAGCTACATGTAATGGTAACATAGAGTTTCAGAGCTGTTTATTTTATTTCAACAGTAATCAGAATTTCCTTTTTTGGGTATTTTGAAAAAGAAAAAAAACCAACAGGCTGTGGAAGTCTTCAGCTTCAGCTTCATTTTTCCTTTTGTGATTTTGTTGTGAAGCATTTGTTTTATAACTCCCCCACCACCCCTTCAAACCACCAGGTTCAAAATTTTGTGATTTTGTGTAATAATTGCAACAATTCCTTAATTTGAGGCATGAAAGCTTTAAATAATTATAATAATAGTTAAAAATGGAAATATTTCACATTAAGTACATCATAATATAACTTTTGATGGAAATAATTAACACAGTAATGCAGCTGTAATTATAACGCAGCAGCTGAACAACAGGCCAGAATCTTGCATAAAATTACTTTGAGCTGCCGAGATCATTGGCAGGGCAGCAGATACTGACCAGTGGTCAGGCCTAGTACTCTAAAATCCTTCAGTAAAGTTATGTATTTTATGATGGGGTCCCTAAAAATCTCACCAAGGCCTTGTTTATTTACTCCTGACTGATTTATAAGGGTTGTATACAGAAGACCAATCCACACACACACTTAAATGTGTTTATACTTTCAAAGTCACATTACACGGAGTCTTTATTATGAACAGGTATTTATTGAGATGTGTGTAGGATTTGAGTTTTCCTGCAAGAATTCACTGAGACGTGTGTAGAATTTAAGACGGAATTACGTAATCTAGGTAGAATCTTAATCCCCAGAGTGTTTGATTAGTAAGATGTATGGGGTCATTGAGTACAATTGTTCTAGGTGTTTACTCAACAGCGCTTACAGGTGACCCTTGACCCCCTCCCCCTCCTCTCAGTTCCCTCTTTCTATATATATATATGTAGTGTTACCTGCAACAAAACTTTGATGATAGATACCTGAGATTTTATGTCGCACTAAATGACTCTTTATTCGGTCATTTAAACAATGGAAGTGGGCATTTAAATGTTATTGGATTTGCAGGAAAAGTAATCCTTTTTATATTGACTTTGTCACACCTTAAATTGTGTCACCTGTAATATATAGTCTCTTCAACAGAGCCAGGTAGATAGGTGACACACAGGTACAATGACCATCTCTTACTATAATAGCCATTTAAGGCAATGGACATGAGTCATCTTCTGGAAAAGCCGAGTATGTGCTTGAATGGATCGGTACAATTGTAAATAAGCCGTGTGGAAAATTTGAGAATTTCCTAAATTTGTACAAACTGAAATACACATACGTCAGTGCGATATTTGTTGTCCTAGTTTCGTGACTCACTAAAGATTCAAAACATTTTCACCTGAATTAACCATTGTCAATAAAGGTCACAGTCGAATGATGTTTAGCCTGGTATTGATATACATTTGATAAGTTTTTAAAGAAACCTCATTTCCTTCTTCACTGATATCAAAGCCATCAGAGGTAAACATCTCAGAAGTGGTTTAATTCATTTGTCAGCTTTTTAATATGGCCGTGTTATTGTCACTTTTTTCCAATCACAGGAAAATTTCTGTATTTCAAACTTGTACAGTTATCTATAAATGCTCTAGGAAATAACTTAATGATATAAATTATTATCCTCAGGCTAGGTATAGCTATTTTCAATTGAATTTGGTGTACAGAGGTATTTGGAGATAGAAACGTTTTAAGCTTCCTAAGGTGTAGATGTATAGGTGGAAAAAAAGTGACAGCAAACCACTGAATACCCTTCGACAAATCTCTAGATAGCAGCTCCTGTAAGTTTTGACAACATCGCAAAAGGTAAATATTTTTGGATTTGTTTGTTCACTGTTGGATTTAAACTAGAATTTGTGGTGAAGGTGAATGTTGGTTGTGGTAAGTAGCACACACAGCTGTATTTTCTATCCATCATTGACTGGTCATCTGTGATATAGCCTGTAGTCATCAAGTGGCATGTGGTCAGTTCAGGGGTCTGCTTGACCAGGATAAAATCTTTTGGACCTTTCATTGATAAATGTCTCGTAAATCAGTCACCTCGGGTGAGATTGGTTTTCTTTTAGATAAAATTCTACCTTCATTTTGGATTAATTGTTAATATGTGGTCGTCATGTATATAAATCAGTTCATCACCTGGTATTCTCGGTACATGTTTACTATAACTGAGTGTTATTAATGGAAGTTTCAGGATAAATGCAGGTAGGTTGGGGTGACGATACATAATTTAAACATCAGTTTACGGGCAATGTATGTGTGTGGGTTAATATTTTGGAGTTGTATAAGTGAAAAAGACACATTTTTGTGTTTTGTGATTTGATTTAACTATTAACGTTATTATTAAGGACATTATATTATGAAACATTTACACTGCAAAGTGATAATTATGCATGAATACCACTTGTTCAAGAGATTCATCTGGACAGCTCCATCTGGGTTATATTCTTAATCAGAATTTGACTATTCAGAGGAGGGTCTGATGTGTTATGCTACTAACTTTAATGTATTTTTGTGTTGTCCATGTGTCATTGACTAAAATAAATCAAGACCATGGCCAATTATACCTCTCTAGAAGCTGGACAGTCTTTTAAACATCAGGTATGGATACCTTTTGAGGAGTACAGAAAATGTAGGTTACAGTGACCTATATTTTAAGTCTGAGTTTTTGTAGGTTGTCTTTATTGTTTTGTGTAGCTTAATTTCCATTGAATTTGGAGTTGGATGCTTGTTCTGTTTTTTTTATCTAACTTTGAAAAATAATATGTTTTCTTTCAAGTAATAAGATACTTATATTCTCAACAGAAAGTGTGGATATTGAAAATATGTTTCCATCATTTTCCAGATATACAGATCCAACTACAGACCACCCATGTGTAGACAGGAATAAGAAACAATGCCATTTGGCTTACGTTTTAAAAGGACCAGGAGATATGAGGTTTCATCCAAAAATGTCTTTGTGGTGGGAGTGTCCATGTTGGACAATTCATTCCTGGAATGTACTCTGAACTCGGACAGCACAGGACAAGAATGCCTTGATAGCATTGCACAACGTATTGAACTCAATGAGGTAACAACATTCTCTGTTTTCTACTATAGCTGACAATCTCTCAGACTAATGTCCTTTTTTGGTGTTCATGCTATCAATATCTTATACTTCAGAATTTTTTCAGTGACTTAGAAGGCCAAAGAGTACGAGGTAGTATGGTTTTGTATTGTCTCAGCGATTCCCTTATTTGTCTTAGTGTCTTACGATTATAACCACGGTAAGTAAACTTAGGAACAAAGAAAATTCCTGATATTGAAAGATACACTTACAGGCACTAAAATGATATGTTTCAGGATTCAAAATGGTCATTGACAGTTGAATAAAATCCAAAAATATTGTGATGTCAAAAAGAAAAAATTGAAGTTCTAATAAATTGATAAAGTTGTATAAGTAATGTGCTGAAAGCCAAGCCCATGTTTATAGATAATAGCTACTGAGGTATATATACTAGTGTTAAGATATATGTTGCAAAGTGTCAATATCTTGGAATCATGAGCGGTCAGTGGCCAGAAAATGAGGCTGCTGCTCTGCAAAGGTATACAGGTTTATCATGGTGTCTCATTCACTGTTTTCAGTATGTTGTGTGGAAAATCTTATAAAGGAAGTAAAACTACTCACAGCTGAAAATTGCTAGGATATATATTTGAAAGAGGTTGAGATGTGTATCACGTTTCATTAACATAAATATATATCCTAAGGCTTGTTTGGGATAATTTGTGTACAATCTTAACTACTTAAAGGATAACTGAACAGACAGACTGAAGGGAAACCTGGTAAACATCATCACATATATATATAAAGAACTTCAAGGTCAGCTTGCGGCTTACTCGTGAATCTTACCTTTAACTGGTGGTTATAGGTAAAATGAAAAAAAATCCTGATTTTTTTGTTTTTGTTGATTTTTTTCTGAAATTTACAGCAAAATAATGATAAAACAGTGATCAAATTGTATGATATTACAATTTAGTAGATACTGATTTTTATTTTGAAAGAGAGAAAGATAACTAAAATATATACATGTGTGACCATAAATAGGATGTCATTCTCAATAACAGACAGTTATTTTTCTAAAACAGAATAGTTGTCTGGGGTTTTTGTTTCATTTCAGGAAGAAAATTGGTGAATTGAGAAGGAAATTTTTGCGAGTAAATTAGAAATTGTGAATTTGGTTTAAATGTAAAATAATATATATAATTTGGAAATGGAGTCCTTATCAGCCCCCTAAAAGCTTTCAAATATGTCCTGCAAATAAACGATATGAAATATCGGTCAGATCCGGGCCTTTAACCTAGTTAATTAACTATCATCAACACCTTTATAACAATGGATTGTTGGTTGGTGAATCATGGTGTTAGTAGAAACAGGTTTATGTTGTTCAATAAAACTTAAACACTATGCTAGGTAACAATTTATGGTGACAGAGAGCACTTTTGTAAGTAGTGAACTGACAATTTCAATAGCTTTGTATTTTATTGTGCCCTATATACTGGTAAATGTAGGAAACGATCAGTTTCAACGTCATCTCTAATCTGAATCCTCTGTCAATTCATGTGTAAAAATTTGAATATAATATAGTCAGATAATTAGTCAAAATATCAAGTGTTATATTTGGATCCATAAATATTGCATGGCCTGTTTCAGATTACCAGTTCATTGTACATTCATCTTTTGTCTCATTAATTGTTAGATAGCCAATGTCCAGCTCTACATAATAACTGGTCTTTTTTTTTATTCAGTCAAATTTAATATGTATAAAGTTAAGTTATGCTGTAAAATCATATTTTTGTAGAGCTCAAATTTTCGTGGTTTTTCAAGAAAAAAAACCCACCTCTTAATGGACTTTTCATTTCAGAAGAAATGAAAATGAATTCATCTTTTTATACTTATTTGAAACATTCATGGGCATTTGAATTCCTGGATTAAGTATACTTACAAAATCAATAAAAAAAATCCCCCAGGAAAATTAATGATTTCATAATGAGTACCATAGAAAAGTTGATAACTTTCTGTCCTGTCTAATTTGTAGTGTTATTTGTCACAGGAATGCTGTAAGATTATATTATATATCAGGAAACAGGAAACAAATACTTTTGAAAGATGATTACATAATGAAGATGGGAATTTGACGAACTGTATTTGTTATAGAAAACACTCCTTCTCTGATGAATGCAAGGGGTGTTAACTCTTATATATTTAACAAACTATTCCAAATAATCCAAAGATGTAAAATAAAATGACATTCATAAAAAAAACAAACAAAAAAAGAAAACAAGAACACCTGGATTTTGCATTTGAAATCCTGTTAGGTAATAATTGCCCAGGGTGAATATTGCAACTGATATGGTAATCTGTGTCAAATCTATATCTTTTTGTCTGTGCTGATACAATGATAGTAGAGGTGTCAACACAAAATACATCAAAAAGGAAAACAGATTAGGTTTTATTGAGCACCATTGAGACATGATAATCTTGACTGAGATGATAACAACATCTTTGTTTACTTTTAGGTCAGAATAAGTACATGGTACTGTATTATGTTACTATTGTTAATCACCATGTCTGCCTCTACAGTTTACCTGATGTAGAATAAGGTTTTTAATGTCTCCTGAAATAGTATATTTTGTAACACTATTCACACATACATCAGCTTGGGTACCCATAAGTTTTTATAAGATCTGAAGCTGCCTATTCTGGGATGATGAGGACCAATGGTGGGATGGGGAGACACAGCCCCTTAAATGGGATGGGGTAAAACAGACGCTTTGGTGGGATGAAAGACAGACTCCCTTGTTGTTGGAAGAAACAGGCACCATGGTAGGGACAGGGGAGACACAGACCTTGTGGGATAGAGGAGCGACATACCCTGTGTTGGGTTGGAAAGACACAGTTACTGTGATGGGATGAGGAAAAACAGGCCCTGCTGTGGGATGGGATTAAGTAGGGCCTGTGGTCAGATGGGGAGACAGTCCCTGTTGTGGTCAGAAACAGGCACTTTGGTAGGGACAGTGGAGACATAGCCGCTATGATGGGATAGGATGATACAACATTTGTAGTCGGGTAAGGGTAACACATTTCCTGTAGTGGAGTGGAGATGCGCACTCCCTGTGGTAAGTGGGGACACATATTCTCTGTGTTGGGATAGTATGACACAATCCATGTAGTGTTGGAGAGAAACACAAAATAGCTGAATTCCCAGTCTGTGCCATGTTACAGGCTTTCATTGTATGTTAATGTTTGTGCATTGTTTTGTACATGTCTTTTCTTAAGTCTAAAATCTAATGTGAAAAAAACCCTTCTACTTTTACAGGATGTTGCACAAAACAGGTAAATAATGCTCTTCAGGATGACTGAACTTAGGGGTAGTATGGCTAATACTATGATCTGTTGATTGTTGTAGACTCAGTACTTTGGCCTGCGTTATGTAACAAAGAAACTTCAGTTCCACTGGGTAGACCTGACCAAGCCTCTAAAGAAACAGATAGACAAAAATGCCCAGGCAGCCACAGCACCACGCCTCTACTTCGGTGTCATGTTCTACATCCCGGGGGCTCACAGGATCACCGATGATGCAGCAAGGTCTGTCGAACAAACACCTCCTAGTTAGCTTTTATTTCTCTGGTACTAATTAACTGTCCCCTAGTTTTCTCCAATATTAAAGTAATTGACCTCATCTTCCATTGTTGATTGAATTTGGATCTTAGACACATGACAGTATTAACAGTTGTAAGCTTTATTATTTGTCTATAAACAGTTAACCAGGTAAACACTACCCCAGACATCAAATACTATATATGAGTTGAACCACATATTATAGGTCGTGAAGATTGACTGTCAGCAAAAATAGAACAAAAATAACACGTAATTTTACCATGATACCATTTTATCAATATGTGTTTATCTTTTACAGATATAACTACTTCCTGCAGCTAAAGACTGACATTGTTGAGGGGCGAATCCCTATCATCTTGGACCAAGTGGTACGCTTAGCAGCCTTTTGTCTGCAAGGTAAGACATAGGGGTTAACATTCTCTTCCGAGGACACTTGTACCATAATTATACATTTATAACGCCATGTCTGGTAGTAAGCCTGCCAACATCTATTGCTTTTCAGCTGATTTACCAACAAGAGCTATTTCATTGTCCCTTGATAAGCCCATCCCATGACTTTGAGTCAGGGATAATGTGTTGGCTTCCAGTGCTATTTGTAGGGTAAATATTGTAATGTCAGGTACTTACGATACTGTTTCTTCAAAGGAGGCAGTATACAATAGAAATATCAACTAATTCATGGACAATTTTAAAATCATCTGACAAAACCAATGGGATATTACTGTTTGTTTCAGCCGAGTTTGGTGATCACGATTATGATAAAAATGCCCAAGACTACTTCAAGGACAACAACCTGTTCCCTAAAACAATGTGTAAGGATGACAGTGTGATGGCGGAGATGATGAACGAGACACTGAGTGGTTACATCAGTCTCCAGGGAGTGCATCCTTTTAAGGCAGAGATGCAGTATATCAAGGAGATACAAATGATGGACGGCTATGGAATGGAGTACTACATAGCAAAGGTAAAGGTCAAACAGGGGTCACAAAGGTTATTCAAGGTCATGTTAATTTTATTAAAGTCATTCAAGGTCATACTTTTTGTGCGAAAATTGTGAAGAAAAAATGAGAGGGAGTGTTTTATAAGATAAATTTTCTGTGTCAGCTTTGGTTAAACTAATTTCTTTTGTATATTGTACCTAGGATGAGAAAGGAAAAGAACTCTACCTCGGAACATCCTACCTGGGAATATTTGCTCGTTATCTGGATGCTCAACCAGCCATCTTCTTCAGGTAAATCCACAGTCATTGTCAAGTTAATATATTTCTATTCTCTCCATGATATGCCCCAGATATATAAAGGGCCAATCAATTTGAAATCCAACCTCTTAATAGCTGTGATAACTGATGTTGAAAAATTTGTGGTGGACTTAAATTTGCTAGTGATCTTTCTACCCTCTCGATGACACCCTGTTGGTCCTTTTTTTCCATCCATTACACTAAGACCTTGAATTTTTTGTGTCTGTCAATTGTTTAAGGATACTGATATTTTTGCATAGAGGTGCCATTTTGAACGCACTCTATTTTGAAGTTCAGTTGTGAAAACAAAGAATCTTAATTTCTTACACATTTGTACTTTTGTTTATGGTTCAAAATTCACTGTTTGAAATATTTTTTCCATTTTGTTCTATTTTAAAGCAGGAGTGAGGACATAATTGTACCTGTTATATAAACATACCCCTATGTGTATACTTAGATCAAAGTTTGTTTTATAATTTCTGATGGGGTCCATATTTCTGAGCCAATGTTGATAGTTTTGCACATATTCTAGTGGTAATGTTGTGTTGAATATTAAATCTTTTAAACGTTCCAGCTTTAAGCTCTCGAACATTGCAAAAATAATTTTGGGAAAAGGTCCAAAAGAAATATTAGGTGTTAAAATTTGGTTAAAAAGTTAATATTGCAACTTAAACTGCTTGTATAGATGATAAAAAAATATCATTGCCTTGCTCAATATTTTCTTTATTTTTATTTCAGATGGTCAGAGATTGCACGCCTGACTCAGAGTAAGAAAACACTGGAGATTGACACATCCAAGTCTTCCTGTCAATATCAGATGGTGTGTAGTAGCTACATTAATAGTGGATATCCCTGGGTGCTAATTTTAACAATTGTTCTTTCCTGTTTCCAGTTTCTAACATACTTGTTAAAAAACCAAATCTTTAGTGTATGCTTTAAAAATCAAGTCTTAAACCTTGTTGGAAGGGAAAATATTGTGAGATTTTTTCTTACCAAAACTTTACACTCTTCTTAACCACCAATTACGTATAAAATATAAACCGCTTTATTTTACATCAATTGCGAAACAATTTATAGCAGCTTGTACTAATCACTGTTGTTGAACTGGATGTAAGCACGTCAGGGTCTTATTTTGGAAGGAAATCAGAGTACCCAGGGAAAACTCTCACGGTCTGAAAGAAAATTTGTCAAATATTGACCTGTACATTCTTATTCATTATTTTCTCAATATAATATCAAACATCAGAATGTTCAAAATGGCAGAAAGAACACAAAAGAAACAAGGAAAAATATCACAAACAATATATTCTGTTTCTCATTACAGGAAGATTCTGAGACAGCCAAGTACTTCCGGAGAATGGGTTCCTTACAACAAAAGTTTTATAGGGCAAACAAGGGCACCCCTAGGTAGGTGTCTTTATTGTTTGATTCATGAAAATATTATCTTCCGATTGGTCATTTCATGTCCAATGTTGAATTAATATTTTGCAACATTACCTGCATTGGCTTTTTTTTTTTTTTCAAATTACCAGCTCTAGATTTCATCGGAAAACAGTGATTAAAAACTTCAGGGATCATCCACACCTGTCAGATAACACTAGCATTTATGTGGCGATAATTCATTTTATTGATATTCTAATTAGACATAATAAAAAAAACAAGTTTTCTGAAATTTAATTGCACGTGCATTTGAAATATACTGAATTTTATTTAAAAGTACAGTATTTCCTGCATCATTGTATAAAAGACGTACAAATTAAAAAGCACCTTACAAATTCAGTATTAGATCTGTACATCATACAGCTGTGTCATGAATTGAGGACTCCTCAGTGATGCTACTGGGCCAAAATGTTGAATTCTTTATGTCAAGTTCAAAAAAAGAAAACACAAATCGTCTGAGCAATGTTTAGATAAGATGGGGAGGCGCACCTATTCCATATTTTAAAACAGTTTGAGATGAAACCTTCACATGTTTTGTCACATATATTCAAATATGTGAAGAAGAAAATTTGATTCAAGCTGCCAGAAAGCAAAATGTAAGGACAAATTATATTGATTGATCATGAAGTTCCTTTCTAACAAACTGGAAACAGTACCATGATAATTATGTTTGATCATACCTGGAATGCTGTTGGTGAATCTCGTCATTGATGATATTTACGTCTTGTTTTGTGTGTATCTACGTATACGTGCATGTGTTGTGCATGAGTCATACATCAAGTATACTGACTGTTTATTTGTATATTTGTATCAATATTTACATCTGCATTACTAGTCATCATACATTTGTTAATTTTACGGTGTTTACAGAAATTTTACAGTGATGACATGACAAGGGAGTGGAGGTCAGGGGTCAGGCTGATCATAATTTGTTTTCTTTGAAATTGTTAGTGTCACCAGTAATTCCTGTTATGTATTTCATCATACTTTAGAGTTTGATATTGTGAAAAAGTGAATAGGCACTCATAAATGAAGAACATAGAATGTGTGGCTCCTTATAAAGCATGCGAGATACTTTGGATGTATTTTCACACCAGCTGACCAGAAGATTCAGTAATAAATTCAAATATTGAGCATATTTTGATAAACCAGCTTATCTACACCATGAAAAACAAAGGATAGCATAAATTTTACACATGTCCATGAAGTTTGTTGTGTATGTCTCTAGTATTGGCCTTGCCTTCAGGTGTCACTACACATTGTTTGACCTCATGATACTGTCTCTAGTATTGGCCTTGCCTTCAGGTGTCACTACACATTGTTTGACCTCATGATACTGACATTGGCCTGAGAACATACACCCATGTCTCTAGTGTTGGCCACACCTTCAGGTGTCACTACACATTGTCTGGTCTTTTGATATTGACAATGGCCTGTGACCACACCCTTGTTCTTAAGTATTGACCACACCTTCAGTTGTCACTACATATTTTCTTGCCTCCTGATTATGATATTGGCATGTGACCACCCCCCTGTGTCTGATGCATGTTTTTCATTACAGCTCGAGTATGGTAGATGTGAATGAATTTCCTGAGTCTGAGGGCAATGTCATGCTGTAAGCATAATCCTAAAATTATAATAACTAACTGCTGTACTAAACTTCTTTTCTCTGCTTGTGGTAAACTCTGAGGCCTGGTCCTTAACGAAAGGACAAAATTTATTAACTGTACTGATTTTGATCAGAAGTCTTTTTCTATAAAATGCTGATGTGGTAATCAGTTAATCTTAAATTAGAAACTGGAAAGTCTGTTTTTGATATTCAGTATTTCAACTGTTCAGTATAATTTGGATAAGTTCAGTTGTTTGACTTTTAAAAAGATTAGATTGAAAGAAATATGTCACATGCAATGTGTTTTTTTTTTGCATTGAGTACAGACAGAAAAGATATTTACAAAACTGTATGTGATTTGGCTATTAAATATTAATCAAAGTGTTATGTCTAAAAGCTGTTGTTGAAGGAGAACAAAAATCAGGAATTATTACTGATCATGAGTTTATCACAGGTAAAATATAGTATTGTTCTTTCTGTTAGCATGCTGCCCAACATATAGATAGTACTTAATCAAGCCGAATCTATTTCTCTCATATTCACTGAATATCAGGTAGAATTAGTCTTTAATATTGTATGTATCTGAATATAATATATCAAAAAGACATTTGCTGTATTAAAAAAGGACAAATTTGAAACTTAAGGTCATTTGGTAAAGAAAAAAAATTCATTAAATACCACAAAATTGAGATGCCTTTTGAAAAGTGTCACTGGATTCTGCTGTTGTTGTACTTTGGATATTTTGAACAAAATTCAATTTTTATCAGTATTTTTCAGCTGAGTTAATGTGCTGAAATTAAAATGACAACATATAATGTCATTAATAAGTTGTAAGATTGCTTCTTTAAGACAAATAAAAAATATTTTACTTAAATGAATGAAATATTACAGTCTTCTTTAGTTTATATATGTTTTGATCAACAAATTTTATATATGGTAGGTATATAACAGATACATACATCCTTATTTACATCGGTACATTAATTAGATTCTTCTCCGTCTCATTTTCCTGAATTTTCAGTTTGTTGTCATTATCTCTTTACTTTCTGTATAGACACTGGTCTTTGTCAAATTTCTTTACAAATATTTTCTGTGGAGACAGAAGTCTGCAGCAAAGCTATCTTTTTCTGTTTGTGATTATGGCAGTATTTTGATTGAATCTTGGGTATCTGTCCTAAGTCTTGAAATGACATTTTTTCTGTTCTCCTCATTATATTTTCTCTGTATTGATTTGAATCATTAGTGATAGTACATATACAGTTGTATGTAATATTTGCCTGTATACATTTGTGGCTTGACCAAACTTTCCATAAGCTGCCACTACTAATTGGGGCATACTTGAGCTTTTAGTGATGCTTGGTATCTGTTACATTAACATTAATACTGATGCATGTTGGAATATCTACCTAGAACTTATTGTATCAGCCTTTCGTTAGCTTCCACGATTTATTACAGGAAACTTATGCTAATTACATATATACCTATTATTTATTTAAATGCTGTTCATTCAATATATATCTTTAAAACACTTTCTCAGAGTGGAAGTATTTTTTTGGAGGGACTTTGTGTTTGAGTATAAATGTTGACTGCATGTATTACTTTGGGTGTTGTTTATTGATATGTGAATGACATTTGATATATTTACTAAATTTTCATTAAGATTTTTTTTCAGGTTTCCAATTTATGTAAAACACAATTCTGACCTCTACCCACAAATTATGATTTTTTGTTGTGGTAGTTGAGCAGCATTTTGTATACTTGTTAAAAATATTTCAAGTCTGTTTTGGCATGATTATAGTTCCTAGTTCTGGTAAAATAGATGCGAGTGCTATTTCACATACTTATGTTGTGTGCACTGTAACAATTATCTTATTCACATCATTTTCATTGGAAATATTGCTAGATTATTAAACCTACATAATGTATGTTGCTTCTTTTAGCATTTAAAAGAATGTTGTAGTTAGGATCACAAAAAGTGCATTGTAACCTTTTGTCTGTGGTTTATTTACTTGTTGTAAGGCTAAGATGATTCATTTCTCTTTACAGGGATTTGCAACAGAGCATGCCAACACCAGCTGATTTCCCAGACCAGCTTGTAAGTTAACAGGGCAAAAGACATTTTTATATGTATTTCTGGCATTTGAACCAGGCAAATAAAAAATCCTCTACATAAAGTGATATGAATCAGCATTTATAGTAACAAGAGAGATGTTTGTATTATGTTTCATTCTTTGAAGTTTAGAGACAGATTGATCTTTGAGATACGAAATTTTTTACTTTATATAAACATAATTTTTGAAGAATAAATTTTGAAGGTAATTATCCAGTAAACACAGAGTGTTCATTATTTACATCTCTTTGATAAAAGTGTTAGAGAGTAAATTAAATTTTTTGGTGTTTTTGTAACAGACCCAGTCTCAGACATCACTGACTTACTCCCAACATTCCCATCAGTCACAACAATCCCAGGACGCACGATTTGAGAAAGGTAAATGTACATTTTATTGTCATTTGTTATTTGAGAAAGGTAAATGTACATTTTATTATTTGTTTAGAAATATTCCTTTATTGTCTTGATATTGAGTCAGTTTTCACTTCAAACACTGTTACGGCAGCACTGATATCACTGGATATCGCATTGCCTCAGATTTACTTTTTATCTGCTATTATTCAAACCTTTGCTGTCTCCAGAGTTGTCCCAGTCGACGGCATCAGAGGATTACTACCGTCAATCACAGCAATCGCTTGAGACAACTAGCAGTCATGAATTACCACCACCACCACCACCACAACAACAACAACCACAACAACAACAACCACAACAACCACCACCTCATGTGTTTCCTGACGGGGGCGTCATGATGAATGGACGCATGTACAGTCCCATGATGCAACACCAGCAGTTGCATCCACCACAAACACCACCACAGCCACAACGCATTGACCCGTCTTACGCCAGCAGGGCAGCAGCTCTTCCAGCATATCGACCTAGTCCGTCCTATGAATCAGTGATGAGACAGAGAGTCAACCAACAGCAAATGCACAAAAATACACAGATGTATGGACAGCAACAACAAGGGGAGACAATTTCATATACCAGTCAACAAGGGGAGACAATTCCTTTCCCCAGTCAGCCTGGTGAGAGTTTACAATATACTGGACAACAAAGAGAAGGAATACCATTTCCTCACCAACATATGACCTCTGAGATGTCCAAGTATGGTCCACCTGAAAACGATTATGTCAACAGTACCACTATCAGAAACTACAGCAATAGTACTATGTATGCCAATGTGTTTCAAGAGGAAAAGGCAAACTACCTCCAACAGTACAGACCAGAGAGTAATCTCATTATGCAGACTACATATAGCACCCCAGAGCTCAACTCTCAGGGGGCATTGCCCCAGTACAGCACAGACAATGGGTTGAATGAGCCCCTCCCCTTTCAGTACAAACCACCTCCTCCATATCCCAGGGCTAGTAGTAGTACTCCAGACCTAGCTGTGCAGACCACCAATGCCAACAGTATTGGTGATAGTCCTGATCTGGTGTCAAGGAAAAATCTGGGTATGTCTGCACTAGCACTGCAATCAAATCTAGATAAAAGTGTAGAAAATTTGGCTGATGTTGTTCCCAAACAAAAGCAGAATATTGTGATGAATCCCAATACACCTCAGATAGCAATCAGTCAGATGACAACAAACACTGGGGGTAGCCCTGTGGACAATGACGACGCATCCAGTGATCACTCGGGTGCAACATTCCACGCCCGAGACACGGACAGTGAGGTAGAGGATGGCGGGGGTGATAGGACACTTAAACGTGAAGGTAGCAAGTCACAAATACAGATAAAATATGTTGCCCCGAGTAAGGCTCCCCCTCCCTCAACTTCTAAGGAAGTGGTCACACGGAGGGAAAGCTTCAGGAGGATGATGATTGCTCGAACAACTGGACAGCTCAACCCTCCAGCATTATGTAGTGAGGAACTGTCGGGGACTCCCGGGGTCGGAGGATCAAATGCTAAATCAGAAAATGACGTTATTCCTGAACAGGCTGATATTGATCTTGATGCATTAAAATTAGAAAAAGCAAAAGTTGATAGAAATTTGTCATTCCAGTCAAAATTAGAAAGAAAGACTTCTATTCAGTCAAGTTTAGAGAGAAATAGATTAAGTCAATCGAAAGGTCAGTCGACATTAGAAAGAAAATCTTCCAACCAGTCCAAAGGCCAGTCCACATTAGAAAGAAAGTCTTCAAACCAATCGAAAGGCCAGTCAACATTAGAAAGGAAAGCATCCAGCCAATCAAAATTGCAATCAACTTTAGAGAGGAAAGCATCCAACCAATCGAAAGTTGAAAGGACTTCATCTGTTCAGTCTCATTCGAGTAGTGTGTCTGGTGGTAGTTCTGTGTCAATGACAGAGAGGAGCTCCCCAAGTGGGGATCATGACTCTTACTTAAACTTGGCTTTTGTGCCCCCAGTGGGGAATTATATGAGAGAAGAGACAGTGAAAAAGATAAAGGAATTGACAGAGAGAGAAGAGGAATTCAACAAAGACTACCTCAGTGATTCTGACCCTGAGGAGGTTAGTATATCTTTTATAAAAAATACAAAATATTAAACTTATCTGATGAATTAAAAAAAAATCAAAATGTTGTAAATTTGTTAACGTATGTATATATTAGTTTGAACACCTTTGATGTTAGTCATATTTTACAGGTCCAATATTTGATATGTATGTTTCATCATAAAAGATATCTTGGAAAATGTTGCTTTATACAGTTATTGGTGCTGAAAATCAACTCCTATTGTTATCAAAATAACAAAGGATATTGTCATTCATTAATTCTGTAGCATCTAGTATTTAAGCTTTTCTGTTTAGTAACAAAAATCAGATGACTTCTGATTGTAACAAGTGAAACAAGAGAATTTTGTCGGTATATCCTGTGATCTTCTGTCAGTATTTTCTGTTTGTAAGATTTTAATACATTTTGTATTTACAGGAAGGAATCAAGAGACGCATTGGTCCTCTTAAAATGGCCGCTCTAAATGGTCTGACGCTGTCCCGACCTATGGTGCTGGCACTGATGAATGACGAAAGTAGAGCTCCGAAGGATGAACGGGTACATATGACACCATTGCCAATAAACGCAACCATTGACTTCAAACTTTTTGATTATCAATAATTATGATATTTGAGGAAATTTTTAGATCATTGTGTATAAAATTGTCAATGTTTAAGCAAAAGTCATATGGTGTATGTTGAATATTGAATTAAAATTTCTGAAAGATTGCTTGTCTTGATCTACAAATCTTACAATTTTCTACACTTGGTTACCTAACTGACATGCTCTTGACTTTCAGAGAAAGTTACTTGAAACCAAACTGTCTGAGAATCTCGTATTTAAAGAATTCGAAGAAATTCCTAAAAAGGCCCCATCGATGGAGTGTCAGTGTGCTAAACTGTCTGAAAATGAATCTCGTAATCGCTTTCGTGATGTGCTTCCATATGATGCCACCAGGGTGAAAATTAATCCAAGGAAAGACAACCCATCAGGCTATATAAACGCATCACATGTAAAGGTATGGCTTCCCTTCAAGTCGTATACACCACACTGTCAGTGAAGAAAAATCATCTTGATTTTGATGTTTTGTTATATAACAAATATTGCCTATGGCATTGATATTTAAGTCATTCAATAGAAATATTTCAGGAACGATATTACCTTTGGCAATTGTAATATCTATTGTTAGACAATCATTGTTTGTTAAATTGTCTCATTTCAGCATATTTGAGATATTAGCAAAATACTTGTTACAATTTGTTTCCTTAAAACTGACTTTGATTGACCTAGTTACATCTTGACTGACCTTGGTTGACCTAGTTACTTTTTGACTGACCTCGGTTGACCTTGTAATATCTAGATTGAACTTGGTTGAATTTGTCACACCCTGACTGACTTTGGTTGACCTTGTCACACCCTGACTGACTTTGGTTGAATTTGTCACACCCTGACTGACTTTGGTTGACCTTGTCACACCCTGACTGACTTTGGTTGAATTTGTCGCACCCTGACTGACTTTTGTTGAATTTGTCACACCCTGACTGACTTTGGTTGAATTTGTCACACCCTGACTGACTTTGGTTGACCTTGTCACACCCTAACTGACTGTGGTTGAATTTGTCACACCCTGACTGACTTTGGTTGACCTTGTTACATCTTTACTGACCTTGGTTAAACTTGTTACAGTTGCCAGTTGATGACCGAGTGTGGTGGTACATTGCCACACAGGCACCCATGTCAAACACAGCAGTGGATTTTTGGCAGATGGTCTGGGAACAGGAAGTTGATGTGATCGCCATGCTTACTGCTGTTGTGGTACGTCCTTGTTTGATTATGTTGAGAACTATTCATAACTGCATTCAGAATTGTTAATCATGGCAAATTCTTTCTTGACTGCGAAATGCTGAAAAACCTGTTAATGTACCTAATCCAAAAATAGAGAGGAAGTTCCTTGTGGGAATTTCTCATAAAAGGCTCTTCTGTATACTGGAATATTGAAAAAAAAAATCTTTATACTCTGTCAGTTGATAAAACAACTCAATATTAATTAATGAGGAATTTTATCAACATATACACCTGTAAGGGTAACTATTAAAATTAATTAATTTTGAATTCACACTTGAATCATGACTGGGTTTCAGGAGCTGGGAAAAAGGAAGTGCTATGAGTACTGGCCACAGGAGATTGGACCAGAACACAAAATAATCTTTGGTCAAGTAAGTAACTGAACTTTAAGTATAATACAGAGTAGTTATCAAGCTTTTGTAATCTTATAGATATATAGATTAATTTGCACAATAAAATAGCCCTTCCAAAGTGAAGTAAATTTTCTCCATCATCAGGCATTATATAGAATTTTATGCTGATTGAGTATCATTTCCAAAGTAACCTTTGTACCTCAGTTGAAACTAATTATTTATTGTGTTACAGTTTGAGGTGACCCTGATGTTCTGTAACGACTCCCTGTGCTATGTGACCAACAGGATATCTGTAGTTCATCTCCCAACAAAGAAAGAGCGCCAGTTGTGGCATCTCCAGTACACGGACTGGCCTGATCACGGCTGTCCAGAGGATATGTATGGTTTTCTGGGTAAGAGACGTTACATGGATAATTAGAATCAGCCAATCTCAAACTTAACCTGTGGAGTATCCTCCCTATTGTGTAAAAGAACAAGTAAGTCAGAATTCAATGGAGAGAATCTAAAGTTTTTATGTAATAAATCTCAGTATAGATTATGAAGATCAGGGCCTGTATTCATGAAACCATTCTCATGCTCAAGCATAGATTTTGTGCTCAAGCAAACTTTTTTCATAATGCACCTAAATACCAGGTAATATGAAATAATACAAATGTCAAATTTAAAACTTGAATATAGCTTTGACTTGAAGTCCTTTCAAAATTGTTTTTTAAATCTTCAGCAATATCAGCCTTATTTATTAATTTTTAACTTAAACAAGACATAAGGCTTGAGCACAGAATTCACGCTTGAGCATGAGAACGGTTTCATGAATACGGGCCCAGATGAATTTATTATGCCTACATATAGCTGAGATTGTTTCTGGTTACCTTCAATATACTATCAATACATGGTAAAATTTATAATAGCTCCAGTTAATCCAACTAGGAAGATAGGTTTTTATGATCAAGAAAATTTTTCAGACAATGTTGCCGTATTTATATTTGCAGGCTTTTTGGATGAGGTAGAGTCAGTACAAAGACTTGCAGAAAGTGAGGAAGGTAGCGGCAAGAAATTACCTATCCTGGTCCACTGTAGCGCTGGGGTGGGGCGTACAGGGGTAGTGATCCTCACGCAAGTCATGAAGTGGTGTCTGGAACACAACCATGTAAGTATTCCTAAAGCATTACAGTCATATTTATGTTGGGAAGGAAACAGTCAGCAGAAAGTGGGAGCCAAGAGGGTTTGAATCCCTGATTCCTGGGCTGAATATTGCACATTGCATTTTATAAGATCGACATTAGGTATATCTTTCGATTATAATAAACATCAATACAAATTATGATTTTGCCCTGTTTAAGCTGGTAGTAACCATGATCATACTTTAGTGATGTAAGATTGACATTCAAAAACTTTTGTCGTACTATATAGATTATTTTCAACTGGTTTTATTTTTCCCTATTTCCAAGGATTGAATGAATTTGTGAAAACAAATTTTCGAAGAAATGTATTTCTGATTCAAAACTTTTGAAAAAAGAAAGTAATTTTGCTTCAAGCATTTTGCAATACTTCAAAAAACTGAGCTGTTAAAAAAGTATATACAGTACTACAAATGATCCTAAAGAGAGGATATCAATTCAATCAACTTGGTTTACCATAAATCATTTGATGTTTTTATTGTAGGATATAGATCTACAGAAAGCTCTGGGATCTATTCGACAGCAGCGCATGTACCTGGTTCAGACTGTCGGACAGTACAACTTTATACACAAGACACTGATACAGTATCTGAAGAACACAAGACTTATATGATCAACATTACTGAGAATTACAACTTTGTTTATACATCAACAGAATGAAGCAGCTTGGTTCACCAATCAACAAAGGATTTCATTGATAGCACAGATGCTGGTCACAATGTGTTAGAATGGAAGACTACGGGTAGTCTTCTTTTAGGGAAATGGATCTTTAAAGATTGGACAGAAAGTTGAACCTCATTGTGGAAAAAAAATCAGGGATTGTTAAACAGCTATGCTAAATAAGATTTTATAAAACTTTTAAGTGGCAAAATTCATAAGAATGATGGTACACAGCATGGATGTTGATTAGTAAAATAGTGCTTGTTTTGTATTAACATTTCACAAGTTGACATGATTTGATTTCTCAGTTTGATGTAATAGAAGTTATTGGGTATACATGATCATTTCACTTTATGGTATGAAGGATGAAAAGACCGTAACATGTTATTTGCAGTAAGAGGGGAAAATGTGACACAGTTGCGAATGTTTGAACTGTTCATGGGAAAAAATCTTGGAATGTTCTGCATATAAAAAAATGTTTGACATGTCCAAAACAATATTTTTCACTAGATGTGAAATAGCTGGAGATGTTTGTAATCTTGAGTTTCATCTGTGCCATATACACACACACACATTGATATTACATAAAATATGTTGTTCATGTTCAAATGATAAATGTATATGCAATTGTTATTATAAATCAGAGAAAAAGAGTACACAAGAATTACTATTGTTTTTTTCCTTTTGTAATTTACAGTGATTGATCTACAGGTAAATATTTCAAGGTATGATGGTTTTGGCTTTGATATTTATTTCCAAGTTGGACATGGAATTTAATGCATAGTTATTGTGTCCCATGGTTGTAACTTTGGTGACCATTCATAGGAAGATGTTTAGAGTGTTATAATGAAACTTTGATTATTGAAGTAATTCCCTATAAAATTTTGTCAAAAATGTTGTTCAAATATATGATATTACAGTGTAAGCTGTATAGGAAGATGCAAAAGATTTGTAGAAAAAGGAAAAGTATGGAATATTATTGTTGTGAAGGCAGTGAATGCTATATGGTTTTAGTTGTATTGCAAATATTGCAAAAAATATTCTTGTGATATTTTTTAAAAATATGTATTTAGGTTTGTAGTTATTTTTCTGTGAAATATATGTTTTGAAGTTTAGTATGCTTGATATCAAATACAGAAAAAGGTGATATTGCTGTGGTACGACCTCCGAGGGAAGGGAGATCAGTCTGGAGTTCATTGTCTGAAATAATTGTCCTTGAATAGTGAATGTACAAATAGGCCAGAATTGGATGTAATTTGCCAAACTTTTGACATAGATGATCAGCATTTCAATATTCATGTACCCATCACATACTCAACATACAACGACTCATGTCTTAATCCATATTGTATTGTCGAATGTAAATTTTTATAAATTGTTCTAGTCATTCATCGATGTTTTGTTTTGTTAAAAAATGTCTTGCGTTGCGTAATATTTCATCTTATTTTCAGTTCTTCCATAAATTTCAGCTTATAAGTTTTCCACGAGATAAACTGATTAGTTGATTAGTGTATTTAGTGTTGAGAGAGAATGTGAGTGCTATAGATCAATGAATGTTAGACTTAGTTCAACAGGTAAAGACAAAATTTCACAGGTTTAAAATTCTGAGTCGGTAGTTGATTGATCAGTGTAAAAAGTGAATGGTTGTGATTTTTTCCTGCGAGTGTTATGTGATTGAGATTACTTGGTGCAATATATAAACCATAGAATTGTTTTATTTCTGACATGTTTGAATGTATTTAATTCATAATATATTTACAGGCACAATTTTTCATTGAAGACAATTAAATGTTTCGCTTTCTTTATTGTGCACCTCACATATTATAGGAGTCAATGAAAATCACCAAAAATTATATTTTTTAGTAACTCTTTTTTAAATTTGCGGTATATATGGGATGTGGAATAAAATTCATGAATTTTATAATAGGTATACATGAAAAGTGGTTGTGAATTTGTGATATTTTTGGTTATATTCCACTGAAATCATTTGAATCCTTTTGTTGAAAGAATTTTTTTTTAATTGATAGAAATATGTCAAGATAATATTCGAGAAACCTTTGAAAAACACAGATGGTAAAATTATAACAATCAAATGAAAAAAACACTATGCAAATTATTTTGTCCTTTTTTTTTTTTTAATTTCAGGCTTTTAATCAAACAATCACATTGAATTTGATAATTGGTAATTGCTTTGTATTTGTACTCTGAGAATTTATAAGTAGATTCTTTTATGACTGTTAATCAGGAAACACTGATATGGAGACTCTATGCGGAGGCCGTCATTTATTTGTAGGAAATATGCTTCAGTAAATTCAAAGGGAGTTAACTGTAGTCGGCAATCTGTCAAGTGCAGGTAACATCATTATTCAGATTTGATGTTTTATTAGTTTGCATAAATTTCCTTCAAATTCAAAAAACAATTATGAATTTCATTCTAGCAATAATATATTTCATTGTTGATTTATATTGTTCACATAAATGTTGACTTCCAAAGCCGACTGTAAAACAGCAACATTTTTAGAATTTGTACACAATATATTGATGTATAATGAAATCATATGATGTGATGTAGTTCTAATATACATCAGCTATTTTTCATTTTTATGTTGTAAAATATTCATACTCTCATAATCAACCTGTGTTTCTATCAAAGTATATTATACTTCTGTCTATTTCAAACATTTTTCATGTTTGATTAATTCATTTCATCTATATGCTTTTGTAACAGAAATTATTTCACTTCATATTTTGCACATCTTTAGTAACCTCAAAAAAAGGGGGTGGTGGGGGTCGGTTGGCTGGTTACATAACTGTGATACCAGGAAGCTATTGTTTACATAGAAGTGTTCAATTCTGTCAAAAGCTGAAATCCTTTCAGATTGCGAAGTTATGATGGATTTTTTCAAACTTATTATATAGGATGGTTAGGTTAGGCATAATACACCACACATCAATATGTTCAAGTTAAATCCCATCCTTCCAGTGCAGTAGTTCTGTAAAAGACAATATCAGTATTATACAAACTGTATCACCTTGTCTAGTGACTCGGTAATGTTTAGTGTATGTTCAACCTTAGAAATCCGATATAGCTTGTAGTGTCGACATCTTGCCCAAAAAGATTGCAACTACACTTTTGATGCCAGTAGAAGGTGGTGATATCTCATCATGTACCTGTTTATCTCCTCCATTTATCGTGGAACTGATATTCCATAATGACCTGTGCTTTTCATTGTTATTTTTACATTGTTGAATAATGAAATGTAAAGGTAAAGGGAGATCATCCATTATCTAAAGTCTAGAAAAATGGATAGAAATTTACACATGGTCAAAAGGTAATTCTAAGCCTATTCCGTTACATATACAGCAATATCTTACCAGTTAATCTGTGAAAATATATCTATATACAAATGGACAAAACATTCATATGGAATTGGTATTGCTGAAGTAGTTGGCTGCAGTATTTTTTAATGCAAGCTGATGTACTGTAGATCTGTTGTAGAATCTCTATAGTGGGTTTAGATAATATCATGAAACGATAGGGACCAGTGCCTTTTTGATCCATGTCCATATGAAGTATGTGTGAACTGTGCAAGATCGATCAACATCAAGTTTTAGTTGAAAATCAGCTTTTGCATGCTTGCCCTATCAATTTGAAGGAGGTTACTGCTTTTTCAGTCATTTATTGTCTTTTGAAGTAATTCAGATTAACCACTTGTGTTTGTTCTAATTCAATCAGTTCTTCTAATTGAAATGTTGAATTGCAGTTTACACAAATATTTTGTGATACACAAGAACTCTTCTCGGACATTTTAAACTTTGTCACATGGTTCTCATTTTTACATTCTTTTAAAAATCAGTACTTCTTACTGTATATGTATTACTGTGTATAAAGTTATTTGGAATGAAAAAGTCTGAGCAATTAGAAAGCTTGTCCACTACCTTGAAAATAATCATTAAAAAAATTCCCGATTTTCTATGAAATGTAAATGGCACCAGTTATTCACCTTGGTTGTTTATCTGAATGTTCACCTCTCATCCTATACTTATTACATATGTTGTTTACCATTTATCATTAAGAAGTATTTATCCTTTTTTAAATTTCCTATATATGTACAATATAAACCTGTACACTGCCATGATGGCTGTCAGCAGGATTGCAAAAAATAAAAATACAAGTCAAACAAACCTGTCTTGCTTTCTCTTTGGAGCAGGAACACTGTGAGGCAGTGTTCACAAAGATTCTCCACAAATAAAACCGAACACAATTTAAATGTATAACTGACTTTTATTTCAATCATAGTTTCTATGTCCTTGTTGAAAATATATATTTTCCATGTCAGTAGCAATGCTTGTATTCCTACCTGAAGCCTGTTCAACATCTGAAAGTACTTATTAAACAAAACATTACCAAACATCTACCGGTAACAAAGTCTGAAATGAATGATTAAATACTGGTCTACAAATGAGACACGATATTGAAATTTTCATATGTTCATACGAATATAGGAGTAATAGTAAGTAAGCTACTTTACTGTGACATGGAGACTTAAGGAGGTATGTTACCTTACACAGTGACATTACTGTAAGTTCTTTTCAAAACAGGTATAGATGTTAAACATAGTATGTAATGCATCTTTTGTGGAATTGGAATATAGATTTGTACGCTTAGAGAAACTTGACATGATCGCTTTGTTTTTAAATACAAATTTATTCGTAAGGAAGACAATTCTGACATGGCTAGTTTTGTAAGGTAACCTTTCTCCTACACTACACTAGTAATTTTGTGTAATAAAGTGTGATTAGTGAAATGGAAAAATCTATCAAAACTGGAAAAGATGATTTATTTTATATTCTTCTCAAACACACAGAAATACATTCAATTTAAAAACAAGATGCAGAATATGTTGCATGAAGCATTTAAAGTTGTGAGAATGATGTTTTACTGTTTTGAATACATTTATCATAGCTTTTATGGGAATGTACAGCATTGAGACCTGTCTGTGGCAGTCTGTTAGGATGTCAGTATAGTAACAGTTACACAAACTAGAGACAAATATTACAAACAAAACAAAATAAACTATTATAGAAAACTTAACATATAAAAGTAAAATATGTGAAAAAAATATAAATGTTATGACACCAAAGTATCTTTGTATGATACTATTGGTTTATTTGCAATGTACATATTAAAGCAAAATTTTAAATACATTACGTATTAAGATTGAAAACATTTCATCTTTGCAATGACAAGAATAATCAACATTACAATAAAGAGTGCAAAGGAAGGAAAAAGGAGCTGAATATGAATTCAGTACTAGTATGTTTTCATAAAACACTCTCATATTACACATGATTTGTAAATAACGTGACAAAAGTAACAATCAAAACAAATTAAATTAAAAACGAAATATATGAAAAATTTCAGACTCCATAACAGTACAATACAAAGTGTATATTGACTCTTAACCAAATGCTTTTCATTTACCTAGTAGATTTCATTTTTTAACATGTAGCACATGAACAAGAAACTTTGTTTTATTAGTATTGTTAACCTATGGTTTACAACTACAAAATTGAGTTTTAGATTTACCTTGAGTTGCTTCCCTTGCTCTCTCTTCTCTTGTCATAGGTTATTTGTCCTCTAACATTAAAAACAAACTTTACTATTGCACAATAGAATATGGCAAAAAATAATAAATGCAATCACTACTGTCATAAAGAGGGTTACACTTTAACGATAAAAAAACCCCATGTTTATGGCATTACAGATATCACAAACAATTTTACTGTACGACAAGTAGTAATATTTGGATATTTATCTGGAAAACACCTTTGTACCACGTTTAAAAGAAAATATGCTATCACTTTGGTTAATATATCAGAATCAAGAATAATCAAAAGAAATAAGTGAAATTTGATTTTATCCTTAGCACAGATGTTTGAATAGAGAGTCTGTCCTGTGTTCCCAGTTCAGCAAGGCTTCCGTTTTATAGCAGTAGTATTGTTTCAAATGCTTATGTGAGAGGATCAAAACAGTTCGAACATCTGTGACAGCAAGACAAGGTTGACACCAAACAATACTTGTAAAGATAAATGCATCATAACAAAAGATTATTAGAACCAAGGTAATATATGTAGAGACACCTAGAACGTCTACATACCAAAACAAGACTATAAGAATAATACACAGAATATTCATACATATCAAACATTTTCTTACTACAGAAATTAGAAATGATAAACAGAGAGAAATACAGATTTTGTCAAGTGAAATGTGTGTATAGCTAGTCATGACTTTCAGACAAAAGAGCTGAAATTATGCAAAGCATTTCAACCGAGACTGTACACACTTGAAATATGTAGGACAACTGAAAGAATTGGTGTTATTATAATGATATCAATGATGTGATTTTGACAACATCTGAGGTGGGATATATATATACAAATAAATTGTACAATGACAAAAACCCAGATATATATTTTGTGACTTTCTGAAAACTTATAAGCTTAGATTTTAAAAATCAATATTGATATTGACAAAAAAAAAATCCGACATTTGAAATGGCATGGAAGTTATATAGATTATAAAATGAAATGTAAATCACCAAGACAAAATTTAGCTACATAACAGTGTTACACTTTTATTTGATTATGCCATGTAAACTATTGAATCTTAATTTCCTATTTTCATGATAAAACATCTTCTGAAAAGGTATTATTTGATGCATTTGAAGTTGTTGAGAGCACAAACTATTCCTTGAGACAATGATTTTTGTCTATTAACAGTTTGCACTCATATGTGAATTTTAAAAGAACCGTAAACCCTATATTTGTGACAAAATTTTACCAGGTACACTCATTACCATAAAGAGACGAATGTGATAAAAGAAATAATGAAAAAATAAATGCATCTTAGGCATTATCACATCAAAATAAAATTGATTAATGGCATAATCATTTTTGCTTTCATTTATACTGATCCAAATCCAGATCCAAATATTCTAAATGCAATGTTCCACTTCCTTCATATGTTCTTAACAATAGTTAGTAAATTCTTAATTACAAACAATTTTGATGAAAACAATATCTTTTAAACTGTACAATAACTCTTCATGACTTACTTTCTCCACAGTATCATAAATTATCATGCAGACCTTGTTCACAATTATAATGACTACACAAGGGAATTAATAATTAAAAAGACTAATATCTTACATAATACTATATTGAACTGAATTACAACCAAATCATATCCATTGTCAGACCTAATGCTTGTGTAAGGATACACAACCCTTCAATACTGTAAAACCTCGCTGCCTCCTGATTGGTCAGTGATAGGTTGTCTGTGAAGATCCACTATGTCTGGTGTCTCAGGCTGGCGAGTGTTGTCTGTGTAGATCCACCATGTTTGATGTCTCAGGCTGGCGAGTGTTATCTGTGTAGATCCACCATGTTTGATGTCTCAGACTGGCGAGTGTTGTCTGTGAAGATCCACTATGTTTGGTGTCTCAGGCTGGCGAGTGTTGTCTGTGAAGATCCACTATGTCTGGTGTCTCAGGCTGGCGAGTGTTGTCTGTGAGGATCCACTATGTTTGGTGTCTCAGGCTGGCGAGTGTTGTCTGTGAAGATCCACTATGTTTGGTGTCTCAGGCTGGCGAGTGTTGTCTGTGAAGATCCACTATGTCTGGTGTCTCAGGCTGGTGAGTGTTGTCTGTGTAGATCCACTATGTCTGGTGTCTCATGCTGTTGGGTGTTGTCTGTGTAGATCCACTGTGTTTGGTGTCTCATGCTGTTGGGGTTGTCTGTGTAGATCCACCATGTTTGATGTCTCAGGCTGGCGAGTGTTGTCTGTGTAGATCCACCATGTTTGATGTCTCAGGCTGGCGAGTATTGTCTGTGAAGATCCACTGTGTTTGGTGTCTCGTGCTGTTGGGTGTTGTCTGTGTAGATCCACTGTGTTTGGTGTGTCGTGCTGTTGGGTGTTGTCTGTGAAGATCCACTGTGTTTGGTGTCTCGTGCTGTTGGGTGTTGTCTGTGTAGATCCACTGTGTTTGGTGTCTCATGCTGTTGGGGTTGTCTGTGTAGATCCACCATGTTTGATGTCTCAGGCTGGCGAGTGTTGTCTGTGTAGATCCACCATGTTTGATGTCTCAGGCTGGCGAGTATTGTCTGTGAAGATCCACTGTGTTTGGTGTCTCATGCTGTTGTGTGCCGGCTATGTAGTCCCACTATTTTGGTGTCTCGTGCTGTTGGGGTTGTCTGTGAAGATCCACTGTGTTTGGTGTCTCGTGCTGTTGGGTGTTGTCTGTGTAGATCCACTGTGTTTGGTGTGTCGTGCTGTTGGGTGTTGTCTATGTAGATTCATTGTGTCGCAGACTAGTGAATGTTGTCTGTTGGTCCACTGAAAGCAGTCTAGGGCTGATAGGCATGGCCTGAATCTGCAGAAGGGGTATGAGAGCTGATGGAACCATACGAGTTGACAGGTGCAGGGGTGGAATGATCAGTATCCTCTCCACCATCTACCCTTCTGTCAGGGTTTAGTAAAACAGTAGCTACAAACGGCTGCAAAACACATTGAATACAGAGAGTAAGATTTTTATGACACTAATCTGGATTAGTTTAAATCTAATCAGAAGTCAAATTTAAATCCTTACTGTAATATTCTCATGTCATGTGGATACAAAATGGAGTTACCAGAATCAAATTGCACAATTCAGCCCTACGCATTAAAAAACAATCACATGTAAAACACTTGTCTTTGATACTGGTGAAATATATCAAGTACGTATTAACCCAATCTAAATATCCAGAAATACACTTATGCGCTCTGCTGAAATAAAGTGTTTCTATGACAGAAGATATGCTCAGCCTATACATGAAGGACAAGAATTTGTAATCTCACAATCCCTTCCAGTAATATCCTAATATTATAAATATTTACAATGATGTTACTTTCATTTCCGTGATAAAAATAACCACAGTCTTCTTAAGTTAACTTACAGCTGGTCCAGTAGGCCCTCCAGTAGGTGTTGTCATACCATCATCGTTGAATTGCTGAAATTTTTGAAAACAATCAAATCACACCAAACTAGAAAAAGAATATTATCAATTGCATTCTAATATGAATATTACCTCAATATATACTTATTGATAAAGACATAACACAAATTTGATACTTGGATGCAACACAAACTAAATTGTGAGTGCAAATATACAGGATGTCAGTGAATAGATACCAGCATGAGCCTTGACTAGAAGTGCTGGAAATGAAATGTGAAATCTAGTGCAGGCTAACTGGTGTATTTGCTAAAATTTCTCGTGACATTATTTTTCTACTAGGGCAAATAAACTCTAATGGAAAGGTAAAGATAAGAGCAAAGACAGACAGAAAGGAGAGAAACAGTGACAGAAATGGAGACAGAAAAGGAAAAAGAGATCGAGAGATTGGAGAAGGAGATTTCCAACTTTTATAGGACATTTGATCTCATAAATTTCAATTTTGCCTGAATTTTTTACTTGGTTTTTTAAAGATATGTATGACTAGCTGATTTAGCAGAAGCTGGTTATACCCACCTCAGACTCGGGCCCAGTGTTAGCCTTCTGGATTTAACAGACAGATAGAAGAGAAAACAAAGATATGATGTCAGTATTTCTATAACAACCTAGAGTTTAAACACTGACCACCATAACAAGACTTTCAGCCAAGACCTCTACTACCAACTACTCCATATGTACACCATACATGCAATACCACACAAATGGTTACATTACATAACATAACAGATGAGATAACTATAAAAAAAGACCTGATGTGTCTACATGTGTATGTATATTGGTAAGAGGTATGTTTTTTCAGAGACATGAATTTAACAACATTCATAAACCAAAGGCTTGGTTAATCATATTTTTTGCTCTCATTTGCTCTCACTTATAATTCATGTGTGCTAGATGTCCTAAAAGGGGAGTAAGGGCTCAAAACAATTTCAATAAAAAAATAAAAAATTAAAAACAAAAGCAAAAATCAAAGTAGTTATTGATCATTTGCTTTAAAAAGTTTTAAAATTTAAAAAAATAGATATTCACATAACATCATCAAGTTGGTAGAAAGAGTAAAATTATGTAAGGGTTCAAGAAAGGTGACATCAGGGAAATAATTATTATGTGCACACAGCATCATACAAAATTGCTGAAGAGAGGAGTTTTATTCCTTTGAAGTCACGGACAGTCACATGCACCAGTATTCTACCCTAACTTTGTTACAGGGTTAAAGCAAAAATTAAAAAATGAAGTAAGAGAATAATGTGAAAGTGTTCTGTGGCAGATACATGACAGACAGAAATGAGCTTGTAAAATACTATAGACTACATAGTAAAGAAAGTATACAGAAAGTTTTTAAACTCCTAAGCTATTCAGTACTTAACAAATTATTGCACCAGAAAGTTTTTAAACAACTAAGCAATTCAGTTTTAATAAATTATCACAATGTATTTAGTTGTTAATACACTATCAGATATGTCTCTGGCATTACAACATTGGAAGTGGAAACATCTGTAAATATATATGTGTGCTAAATTTAACAAGTCACAAATTGAAGACGATATAGAAGGTAATACACATTTGACCATCCATGGAGCACAATATACATACAAGATAGAGGATTGTATAAAAGGCATACAATTAATAGCTCCTGATCTTTAAATACAAATTTTGAATCTAAAATTAGACATTATTTTTGAAAAATCATATCAATTACTCTTGTTGCCCCAAATGTAAGCACACAAGTGTCTTATACTGTGGGAGGAAAAAGTGGAATATCCAGGGAAAACCTGCATGGTCCAGCAGATGACTTTATTCTTTTTCACATCCGTCAAAGAAATTAAACCATGGGTGCCAAGGTGAAAAGTGGGTGTGTTTACCTCTGTGCCATCTAACCATCCAAAAATTTACAATTCGATATATAAAGCCAAATATTAAATGAAACTGCATCATACAGCTGTTATGTCCTTTGAAGATCCCTCAGTGATGTTACAAGCCTACATTTTGGAAGTCTCGGAGGTGACTGAGGAACACCCAGAGTGATTGAAAGAAAAGTCAAAATCTAGATGGGGAGGTGTACAAGTCCCATAAAGAACCCTGAAACATTCATAGATCTGCTGATTTCAGAGGAATGTAAAGAACATGTATGTGAGTTCAAATGAAGCATGCAGGTTACGACAAACCTCACCAAGGTTACGGTAAACAGCTAATAGTGGGGATAAAGTGAGAATGTCAAATATCTGGTATATCAGAAGATAGACAGAGAACTGAAGTATTGCCTTTTAACACACACAAAAACAACAACAAAAACAAACTATATTTCATAGACCGTAACAATAAACATCAAATTTCAGTTTGTCCTTACAGTATACATACATAAGCGTTCATATACAAATGCATGCTGTAACAATGTTATGCACATGACTACAATAGCAGTGTTTATTAAATTGATGGAGATGAACTATATCTACAACCAATAAAAATGCTCGTTTACAATTTCAATTGTTTCTTATTTACATCAGGATTTGTCCTATCATCTTACAGTCAAATATCACTAACAGTATAGATAATAGCTAATATATAAATTAGATAAAAATATAAAAATCCTCAATGTTTATCAGTTAATCAGTCAAGTCTAATCATGATATACAAAATTTAACAGTTTAAAATAATAAGTTGCCAATAAAATCATTTAAAATCTTACATTCTTGTAACATCACTCAATATTGAAATGATATACAACATTCTAGCTATTTTTTTGCATTCTATTAAAATCTGAAACAATTCATGTCATTTTTTTGTCCCATTTGCATGTTAGATACAGCTATGCTCCAACATATAGTGAATTACCACAAACACATATTCACATTTATATTCAAACTTTCAGACGAATTTAAACATAAAGAGATAATTCTGCAAACCTTTTCATTTGACATTTAAATAAACAACAAATTGATGAATGATGAAATCATAAAAAGAATATTATCTATGCAATTGCTGTGAGAAAATGATGCTGTGAATTTACAACGAAGTAAAACAAAGAAGAAGAACACAGTAGCTATGCGCTTACCTTGTACTTGAGTGGGTTAAAGTGCTTGAACCAGCCAAAGCAGACACGTCCAGTGAATGCCAGTAGTGATGCGAATAGTGCCACAAAGGAGAAGAAGAATACAGCACTCACTGCCTCTGTTTGATCAGAATTTTAATATATTTTATTGGATTAATAAAAAAAAAACAAAAAAAACTTAACCTACAAATTTGTCAAACCAATGTAAATTCAGAACAATAAGAAGAAGAAAAAGAAAAAAACAAAAAAATATGAAAGGTTTCAATTTGACCCTACAATTTCACATAAACTACAAAATAACTGTCAAATAATTAGTGTCCCAGGACTTATTATAAGCCTTTTGAAAAATTCTTGTTCAGGTTTTTCCTGTAGTCCTGACTGATACACACATCACCAAAGATATCCGGGTAAATCTTTTCTTCACTAAGTGAAAATAATTTAAACGACTTGTCAGTACCTGAACGGACGGCTGTGAAGAAGACTATATTACACTGTAGGAGGATGACTGAGGCCACGACAAATGTAATAGCTGAGTTGTGGATACCCTTGCTGATCCGAGATGGACGATAAGCAAAATAAATGTTGTAGCGATCCACCATATGCTTCAGTATCATGTGTATCAGTCCTACAAAGAGAGACAAGCTCTACACAACTTGATTAAACATGAACACAGGTTCTAGTAGTCCATTCTTCTGAGCAGCAATGGATTTTACTCCAAAACAAATCAACTTTTTCCATTTCTGCTGGAAATTTTATCAATAAAGTTAATTCAGAAACTACGTGCGAATGCTACTGATTTTTTTAACAAAATATAGGTCATATTGGGATAAAAAACCATTTTATCAAAAGAATTTTCAGGTCATTCAAATTTAATTACAAAGATTTGTTTCCCTCACGATGATGACACTGTATGATGTTATGTATCCGTTTGTTTGTCTGATATGTCACATAATGTCATTATTGGCAAGCTGTAGGGTGTACAGTTTGTGACGACATGAAATGAAAGCAGCATGACATAATTAACTTGACTGAATCACTGTATATTCTAGCATCTCCATATCTTTATACCTACCAAATGGAACAATGAGGGGACATGATATACTATAGGCAACTACTACAGCAAACACACACAGCATCCAGGCGTACTGGACTCCAAACTGGAACTCCCACACTGTCGTCTGTAACCAAGGTTACAAGGATCTAAGGCACAGAAGGGCTAACACAAGTAATTAAATTATCTTACTCTTTATTACATAATTGGAATTTTTATAAAAATATGAATTTTGAAAAAAGGAAAATATCTAAATCTGTTATCACCATGGTAAATATGGATTATGCTTCTATAGATATACTTAGAGTTGAGATTCACAAATCACAATCCAAGTCTGAATGTCAATTTGACAGAATACATATAACAACTTCTCCGATAACGGTCAACACATAAACCTGGTATCTACTAATTGTCATTGATATATATATACCTTCCTCACTGCACTTTCCTCTGCAGATGACCGAGCAAAGAAAAGTCTGACACTGTATATGAGAAGCTCAGAGAACCTCATCAATTCCAGGGCTGTGCCGATAAAGGCTGAGGTTATCACATAATTTACAAAGAAAGCCCCATTGCCAGGCAGGAATATACACCTACAACATAAGGAATACTAGGTACCAGATTTATGATGCAAATTCTTATTTCAATTCTGGAATTGAGCTTACTGCGTAGCGGGCACTTGTTGGTAGTTTAACTGAACAACAGTAGATACAGATGGGCTTATTATCGGGCAAAGGCTTAATTGCCAGAAAAATTAGACTTAAATGTATGCAAATCATCTGCAGTTATTAGGATATTTTCTGAGTGTACTTACTTCCATCGTAAGTCATTCTCAGTGTCCATCACAAGCCACTGGAACAAGGCATTCACACTACAAACAGGAAGATGTATTGCTCTCAACTATTGATAGTTGTATTAAGATGGAACATTCTAGTTTCTAATGCTAATGTTTAGATGTAAACCTGATTATTTTCAATATTTTAAATTTGGATCTCAAACATTCTGCAAAATCCAATCTCTGCCTTTACTTTTCAAAGCTGTATGAAAATTCCAGACAGTAAAGAGCAGTAAAAATATTTTAAAACCCCAGAAAACCATCAGTTGAGTGAAAATTATTTAGTACATTTAGAATTTCAGCAAGGTGTGCCATGAAGATCCAGAAAACTACACCCCTCGCAACAACTTCTAGTTTGTATGTTAAGATTTCTAGTATTAAAAAATGTTGATTTTGTCCCATAAAAAAGGAGATATTAATGTAAATGTGATATCAATACAGACATGTACCATATGTCACCTGTAACATCACAGGATTCTTACAATGTACCGATTTAAATATTTCTCTTTGAGAATAGGTATCTGTGTATTAAATATATCACTGTATCGGTTCGGTGATGTACAACTAACACATTTAATACTTATTAACTACCAAGTTTTTACTTACCTAAATAGTCCTAGAGATGGTAAAATCAAAACCATAAGCAACAAGAAAATAAAACACTTTATCATCACAGAATGATGTTCAGCAGTTCTGTAATGAAAAAAAAAGGATGACATTATAATCTAATTCATATTTTATGCTGGTATTTCACCTCAGATAATTACAAATGTACCAGGGTATCTGTTTTGTGTGAACACTCTTGGTGTTTTGTTTGTTTTTTTGTTTCTTTAGATATCTGGAGGTTACCAATACACTAATGCTGAGTGACCTTAAGGCTTATCCTGCAACCCATATACTGACCTTGTCCAGTGACCTTTATACAGACTGTCACATGACCTTTATACTGACCTAGTCCAGTGACCTATATACAGACTTTGTCGCATAACCTATATACTGACCTTGTCCAGTGACCTTTATACAGACTGTCACATGACCTATATACTGACCTTGTCCAGTGACCTTTATACTGACCTTGTCCAGTGACCTATATACTGGTCTGAGTAATACACAGCATTTGGTAGAAGACAAGCAAATGTCCATAGAAGCAGAGTTGGCAGAAACTGCTGAATGATAGGACTCTGAAAATAGAAGGTTACAGGTCTCATACAATGTTTATATTTGGAAAAGATCTCGCTTTCATAATCATATATGTTTAGTGATTTTGAGCTCCACCTATTTCAATATTGAGATGAAAGTGAAATTATTTAGAACACCACTGTGTGTGCGAGTCCAAAATGATGTAGTCTCTGCAACATTGGCTCAGGTACAACCAAAGTAATTCTAGACTCATGAGACATTGACTCATAACTAAAACGAAAACAGAACATCTGTTCTGCATGTATATCCTATCTCTACCAGAAAAACTAGATTTACTATCTCTACAAGGAAAGTCAGACTTATTATCTCTACAAGGAAACCTAGATGTATTTTGCCTACAAGGAAATCCAGACTTACTGTCATAGAGCCTTTGAAGTATTCTACTTTGTCAAGGTTGTTGATGATAATGAGTGGCGTGGTGAAGAAGAACAGGAGGATAACAAGGAATCCATTCACAACAATTGCAAATACCCACCATCGTATTCCAGATTTTGTCAGGTTCTCCCTGTTGAAAAATTGTTGCTACAGTAAAGTTTGCTATTTAATTAATATAACATACATCCAAAGTGATAACTTCTTGGTAATTCTATGATCATAAAAGAGTGATTGCGTTTTTCAGGGCCAATGAAAAGTGATTAGAACTTGTAATGTGAAGCTACTGGTATCGTTGAGAGCATTTTTACACCTTCAACTACATAAAACATTTTAAGTTGATTTGATATGACATCCTGACCAGCTGATTTGAATACTGACCAACAGATCTGAATACGAACCAGTAGATTTGATAAAATGACCAAATGATTTGAATACTGACCAGTAGATGTTTTCTGGAGATGGAGCATAACTGACATCCCACTCTGCAATGTTAAGTTCCTTGTCCACAGTGGATGGAGGGCAGCTGTTGGACCCCTTACATGCCATACCAAAGTCAGCAATGACCCTGAAACATACATGGTAACAATAATAGCTGTACATATATAACTTAGTAACTGAGTAACGTATTTATAATGTAACAGGCTAGCTTTTACCTAAACCTGAAAATCACTATTGACAATTCTTTTTTAAAAAGTGATCGTGACCTTGAAAAATTTAATCTTCTGATGCATTCCCTTCATTTTGTTTGAGCTTTGTGTGAAGTTTAAAAAAAATCCAATTACAAATAAGGTCAACCATTATCATTAAACAGTTAACAGTAACTAATCAAAGGTAACATAATTGTTGATCTTTGTTTAAAGTATAAAACAGGATCAATTACTTGTCTGTATTGATATTTCTAAGCCTACTTATAAATGAAAGTGTATCAATGAGAGTCACTCTGTTGATTTTCACTTACCTTTCTGCCATGAAGTCGGTCTGAAAGGACACGAATGCGATACCTTGAGGATCTTGGTAAGCTGTGGCCTTTTCCTTCTCACATTTGAGCTTCAGTTCAGCCTCCAGGTTGCTGTAGTATTCTATAGCATCCACCTACAACAGAAAAGACAATTCATATACTCTCCTGTTTATTTTGTCTTATTGTCGGAAGAAACCAGGAGTACCCAAGGAAAACCCATGTGTTCAGGTAGGTGACCCCTTACCTTTTCACATCTGTTCTGGGAATCAAACCCCAGACAGCTAGGTCAAAGGCAAGTGTGTTACCACTGCACCAACCGACCATCCTGTGATCTTTACAATGACATTACAGAAGATCACAAGTCAAAATTGTTACCAGAAAACAATCTTTATTCATGACATGAGGAGCTTAACAAAATGGTAGGCAACTTTTTTGAAAGAGAAATATCCATATAACTAAAATGGGAAATGTATTTCAATGGTAAATAACTTATAATATTTGTTTTATCTAAAACATCAGTTTAATTTACCATTGTTCGAACTTAAAACAAGAGGCCCACGGACCTTAACAGTCATCTGTCTACAAAAACTAGGAGAAGGGTTATTTTTTCTTCTTTTGAATGGAAATCTTACTAAGAAACTGCTTTCCATAATGCAGATGTTAGTTTTGGTGAGGAGTAAGTAACTTTGAAAGTAAGGTTAGAGCTAAAACCCACTGGTGAAACTTGGGAAGAAGTTTGAAATAGGTGTTGCACAGGAAAACCATGATTGCACAATCATGTTACAAAATGGCTTCCCTGGCTGCTGTGTCAAACGTTTTGTCAATGTCGAAAAATAACAACACTTTATTCACACATTACCACCAATTTTTAGCTCAATGGTACCAGTGGAACTGGAGAAGAAGTTTAAAGTATGTTTTTCAATATGGCGGCCATCTTGGATCTCAGACCGACCTAGAAAATAATAACGCTTTGTCAGGACTATCTCAGGATCATTTCATGAAAGTCTGAGCACAATTCCAAAGGTGAAACTTGAGAAGAAGTTTAAAATGTCGAAAGTTTATGCACAGAGGACAGCGACGGAAAAGCATGACAGCTATAAAAAGAAAATGGAAGAAAAACAATTCATGAACCACTTCCTGTTATGGTTACCTTGGCAGACCCACAGCAGCATCGACCACACATATGCGGTCTCATCTTTGGATGTAGCCCCGTCCTATCAAACTCTATCTGAGAGTTCATGCGTGCCTCGCTGGCTGTCTTCCTGAGGATGAAAAAAAAGGCAACATACCAGATATAATCTCGCACAGTTGAGAAGATTTGATGGAAGGAAATTATCATTTCATGTTTGCTCCATTAACATACGACATACTTACAATTTCTTGTCGAGGATAACAAGATTGGAGATGTTGTAGGCAAATTGTACATCTACGACCACGGTCTCCGGGTATGCCTCTCTGTAACACCAATCATCACAGTTAAAGTAGTTACCATTATCTACAGGGGAAAAGTCTGTAACAATAGCTTCTTTTTACTACAGATGAACCAGAATTTGACCTTACAATATTGTAATTAAGAAATGAATGATAAACAGAATGACCACTTGTTTATGATATCAGAATACAAGGTTTGAAACTGTTCTTAAATTTGTATCATCAAAAATATATAAATAGATCACCTAGCAGGAAAACATCAAAAAATGTTTTATTTGAAGCCTATGTCTCTCACAACAATAATGGACTTGATGTAAAACAAAGCAATTAATTTTCAGTGAAATTAAACAAAATGAATGAATATCTTATAAATTCAACCTGTCAATTTCAAAATATAAAGTATGAGAAATGGAACCATACAAATATTCCTACACAAAAATACATTTTAAGTTTTTCAACTAACCAATTACTGTAAAATCAAACAGATATCATCAAATATACATTCGTAGGACTCAAATTTTGGGTTTTTTCCAAAAATATACATTTTTGTTGGCACTTGATTTCATGGATAAATATTGATCAAGAAATCACTAGTACTATAACTTATGTCGACTTTTATCTGTTTGTTATTTTGTGAACTTATAACTTACCCACAGCTCAAACAAAAATACCCCTCCCACCCCCCACCCCCCCAAGAAATAAATCCCCCACAAAAAGTTAATGATTTAACAGTATTTGGTAAAGGATGTAGTCAAACTTTTTTACAATTAAATAAAAAAATTAACTGACTCTTCCAAGGAAATAGTCTGCACAACTATCAACAGATTTTGGAATCTACACATTTGTCATATACATGGACAAAGTTTCCATGTTCTACCAGCAAATCTCAGGAATTTAGAATCATTTAGAAATATCTTCATCCTAGGAAATGAATCCTGAGTCATGTTTTTGAACCTTATCTTATACTAGCTATAATACTCACTGAAAATGTTGAGTGATGATGTTCTTAAAGCATCTATTAGTTGGGATGTTAGAGATCATCAGTGTTCTTGACACCTAAAGCAAAAAGAAACTACAATCAAACCTGTACATGACAGAGATCATTAAAATTTCATGTAAAATACCAGTAAGTTGATCAAATACAGCAAGCGCTACAAATTAAACATGCTAATCATTTCTTAAAACAATTAAGTTCAGTTGTAGTTCTTAAAGACAAAAGTGACAAGTTTTTTCCTTTTCAATTGACAATCTGTTGCCCAGAGAATCTGTGGCCTTGACCCACCTGGTCGTCTTCCTGATACTCGAGGTTTCGGGAGAAATGATGCATCAGGGCCACAATGATGATGAGGAAGACAATGGCCAGCAAGGCATGTATCCACAGAAGAGGAGACCTGTAGTAACACAAGCATTGAATGTTTCTCCAAATAAAACATTTGGGCTTCAGAGAATTTTTAATGATGAACTAAGTGCATGATCACTGTTTTGTATATGAATGCAATGATAAATTTGTACATCTCCAATAATTACTATATTTCAGTGTGAAAAGTGCTAAGATGAGATTTTAGAATTAGAATGAGATGAGTATTTAACTAGGCTACTCAGAACTACTTACTTGGGGTCCAGGTTTCCTATGGTAGTGTGACCGAAATCTGTGGCATTGCCAACTGTAACAACACAAAAAAAATTAGATATTATCTATATATACCTTATCTAACTATCTAATATGTGATCCAAAAGAAATTGTCCTTGAGATATACGTGTATACAAGGACTGCATTTTGCTCACTAACTTAAGACGATGGATCACTTGTCCTTGAGACTTACATGTATACAGACTGCATTTTGCTCATTAACTTCAGATATCAAGTTATTCACTTAACTTGTGATAAGATCTGTTAAGGTCTTTTAGTTTATAAGAAGACAGCTGAAATTTGTATATAATACTAGCTTAATCACTGTGATATTGACTTCTCTTTTACGTTTGTATATTAACTGTATATTATTTTATTGTATCAATACTATACCAGTATGTTATAAAAGAAATGCCAATGGTATATGACACTGGTTTGTTGACAGCATATTCAATAACTTTCAGATGTTTATAAAGTGTATCATTATTGTAATAACGAAGAAATTTATCTGAAACCTCAGTTTCACAAAAAAAAAATCATGTAGCTTACTTATGTTGCCTGAGAAGTTGGTGGGGATGACAACAGCGACCGCTAGGATACAAATAATTGTGGTGTAGATGATTAAGTAACGCTGGAATGACAGATACTGGATCGCATCATGACCACATTTCTGCAGGATATCTGCATCCCTGTCAAAAACCAGGCATTGTATTTAAATATTATCTAGGTCAAGGTTATACAATGTATAGCCAAATTGTGCCAAGACCATATAAATGAGGGAAAGCTACAATGTAAAACAGCTCTTCTGGCAATGATACATTTTAAACACATCTCAGACCATTGCCTTTAGCTTTCTTAGAATAAATTATATTCTTACAGAATACAACCTTGGTATCAAAAACAGTTAAACTTCATTATTTCAAATTCTGATAACTAGACGACCTTCGTTAAATTAAAGCATCTATCAAGTTCTGTCGAACTCTTTTCTTTTCATCTTTGTTATGGTTAACTCAATTTCTTTGGATAACCATGAAAAATGTTCACAATCCCCTCAACACAGAGGAACTTGACAGTAAGTGGTAAAAGTCAACACTGTAAACTTACTTGACTCTGAAAAATGCTGGAATCCACGCACAGAAGCCCTGTAACAATAAAATGTCGAGGTAAATTTCTAAGTTTTACTTAAGTTTTTCATAAATCTCTAAATCTTCATGCTTATCAAACTGTCTACATAATACACATCATCACTAAATTGGTTCACAACTACATTGACCATAAGCAGAGAAGCCATTGCCATCATGATACAAATTTGAGGTTTTTTATGTAAAACCAATTTTCATGAGGTAATACTTACCATAACTTTAGTATGCAAATATGGTACCTACACCCATCTTTGTATCCCAAAAACAAAAGATTCAAAAATCCCGCCCTCCCTACGACCATGAGCCTTCACGTCATGAACATAGAGTTATTTCCCTTCCTCTTAGCCTTTATGTAGCACCCGTAGAGGGGCAGTCAGGCAGATAGGAAGAGGGGAGGAAAGGGTGGGACTCCATAAAGTTATGGTAAGTATTACCTCATGAAAATTGGTTTTACATAAAAAACCTCAATTTCATTTCAGTAATAATTACCATAACTTTAGTATGCGAATTCGTCTTACCGTAGTGGTGACTAGCAGCCAGGCAGCCCATCTAGCACACTAAACTTAGTAGGGAGGGGGGACAGAGTGCATAGAATAAGAAGGGGCAACCTCCCCGTGACCGAGCAGGTAAACCACGTGCCGCCGAACGGAAAAGACGAGCCCCGGGGCTAACGGGGGGGGCACAGCCACAGACTGCGCAACCACCAGAGGTCCCAAAGAATACAAACCTTCTGAGTGGGAAGCCAGGGATCTCAGATAAAAATCTGTAAATGTATCCCTGCCCCGCCAGAAGGCAGCAGACATGACCTCCTGAAAGGAGGACCCATTAAGAAGGGCCCAGGATGCAGCGAGGGCCCTTACCTCATGAGCCCGCACTCTCACCCTCGCCCGAGCCTGGTCATCAGAATGCTCATAAGCATACTTAATGACCTGGCATACCCACCTAGACACCGACTGGGAGGAGATGTCTCGCTGTCCCTGTTTGATAGGCAAAAATAGACGGGATCTGGAGCCCCGCCCCCCCCTGGTTTTATCGAGATAAAACCTAAGAGCCCTACAGGGACAAAGCAATCTATCCCTCTCCTCCGAGCTAGTCAAAGCCGGAATCTTGATGGGATCGGGCGAGAACCCCGGGACTTGATTCTTCGCAAGGAAGGAAGGATCAGTTAAAAGAGTAACGGCAGCGTAGCCTCTGGACCAACGAAGGCAGGAAGGAAGTGACGACAGGGCGTGCACTTCACTCCTCCTACGTCCAGAGGCCAGAGCCAAAAGGAAGACTGTCTTAAAAGTTAGAAACTTTAAAGAGGCAGACTCCATAGGCTCGTAAGGTGACCTCGTCAGGGAATCTAGCACCAAGGCTAAATTCCACTGCGGGGCCAGCTGCCGAACTCTGGGTCTATCCAAAGCGAAGCCTCTGATTAGGGCAGAAAGAGATGAGGAAGAACCTATCTCCTTCCTGCCGTAAAAAGCCAAGACACTGGCAATTGCTGTCCTATAGCCAGCAATAGTGCCAGGTGCCAGATTGCGGTCCCTAAACAGAGAGAGTAGGAAATCCGCAATCAGCTGAACAGAGGCTTCGAATGGATCAACCTCCCTGCCGACACACCAATCACAGAAGATCTTCCATCTGGACTGGTAGACGGCAGAAGAGGAAGCCCTGATAGATCGCGCGATGCGATCTGACACCTCTCGAGAAAAGCCTGCCTTGGCGAGGCTTCCA